AAACAGCTTCCATGCAACCCCTGTTTCTTTTCATAATAGCCTACACAGAAACAAAACTTGGGTTACTTGCTCTGAAAAGTTCAAGAGCAAAAATGCTGCCCTCTCTTTCAGTATTGAAGGTCAAGAAATGTCCGTCCCAAAGGGCTGGAATTTTCTCCCAAAGCAGGCTGCTGCTGTCAGCTCTGTTGCCAAGGCAACAGTCATATATCCTGAGGAAAGGACTGCACTCTTACAAGCTATAAGCCACAGAAGCAAATATTGATTCCAGAGTTCCAGATGAATTTTTTGGGTGGGTTTTTTTTAAGCCCCCCTTTTCTGTGTCCAAGAATTTCCTCCCCTCCTTTTTATTTTTTGGAACACGCGTTCTTCCGAATAGTTGAGTTATAACGACATTTAACATAACCCTTTTTTAAGGACACAGCAGGATGTAAACTGTTTCCAAACAAAAATACAGTTTTTTTCCAGAAACATTGTAATGGCTGCAACAGATGCTTCTCACTTCTGCACTGTCAGCTAGCTGTAGAACGGGATGCAAAAAATCTCTGGTTGTTTTTTTTCAAATCAAGTTTTTATTTTTTTTAAAAAAAGAAATGAGTATTTGCTTGTGGTATCGATAGTTATAAAGGGGCAAAATAAATAAATTTGGATGTATGTCGATCTTCGCTGGAGAACAAGAAATCTCAATATTTACTGGCCGAAATATGCCCAACAAGCTAGCTTTACTCAGTGCAATTAATTATGGGATGCCGTAAGAGTCAGTCCCTTTGATGTCCAAAGCAATGAGCAAGACTTACAGCTTGAGATGGGTGAACTGCCACTTCGGGTTTCTCATTTCTCCAGCTTTAAGTTCAGCTGTCCACATTTCCACATCAGTCTGCCAATTTATTTTTCAAGTCCCCATGAAAATTCACCTGAACTAGCCTAATAAAGAGTTAACAGAGAACCTGAAATCTTGTGGCATTTTGGTTGGCCAATTAAAGGCATTGCCCTAATGTGGGTTTTTGAATTATTTATTTATTATGAATTGATTCCCCCCAGTGTGAAAGCATTTCCAGCATGATATCACCATGTTGCAATCCTTACAACAACCCTGTAGGTCCAGTACCCTCATCTTCCATATTGCAGTTCTGGAGCTGAGGATGGGAGAGAAAATGGCTTGCTGCTGAAAAGTCACCAGCACATGTGAAATCTGGGGCAGGCAGGGGATCCCAGCCTCTATGCTTTGCCAGTGTCGTGTGCCTCAACATATTTAGCAAGTGGGTAAGCCCTCAGCACTTTCTGTAAAAAGTGACTTTCAAACTATGGCCAAGGACGATTCTTGAAGAGCAAACAACGAAGCACATGCTCAAGGGAAACTACCCAGAATCCTTTGCAGCATGGCAGGGTTTACTTGAAAGACAGGTTAACATGAAATGGTTCCCCCTAAAACAGTCATGTATTGAACAATTAACTTGATCACCACAGGCGACCAGGGGATTCCATGTAGGCGAGAAGGCAGATTACTCTACCCCTCCTCCCCAGCTCACTTGGTTTCTGAGCTAGTTGCTGAGGGAAAAAACTCCCTCCTCAATTAATGGCATGGAAACACTACCCAGCTTCCATGCCCCACGTGTAAGCTGTCCTTTGCCGACCTTGGCACTCTCCAGATATTTTTAGACTACAATTCCCATCAGTGCCAGCTGCTGATGGGATTTGTAGTTCAAAACCACTGAACAACACCAGGTTGGCGAAAGCTGGGATAGCTGGGATAGCTGAGTAGGTAGAGCATGAGGTTCTTAATTTCAGGGTTGTGGGTTTGAGCCCCACGTTGGGCAAAATATTCCTGCATTTGCATTTGCAAGGGGTTGGACTAGATGGATCTTGTGGTCCCTCCCAACTCTACAATTCTATGAATCTATGATGTGAACACTCATAGGAGGCTAGTAACATTTTAAACTTCTATGGGCTTATTTACAGAATACTGCCCTAAAACTAGAAATCTGGGGGCAGCAATCACTGTTCTGGAAGTTATGCCATGTGTGAAGATGACTTCGGTCCAGATCTCATAGACACCTTCATTTCCTTTCCCCTCTAAGCAGCTTTGCAGCATTGGGTGAACTGAAAGACAAGTTAAAACGTGGCAGGAGCTTGATGAATAAGTGACCCCATTTCAGTCTTGGCCAGTGTGCTGTGCTTGGAAGAGGCAGCTTAAACCAATCTGATTTTTGACTCACTGACATAAAAGGGATCTTATGAGATGCCGCCACCGTCCATGGCAAGAAGGCCGTTTTGGCTTCCGAGAGAGACAGAGATGATTGCCAAGTTCTTCTGAAGAACCCTGGACTCCAAGCAGCCATCTTATTTACTGTGCTATCTACCAGCCTTGGAAAGTAAAAGCTAGAAAAAACTCTCACCCTATAATCAACGAAGTCACATCTACACTATACATTTTTAAACACTTTAGCAGCCATGTCTTCCCTCAAAGGAATCCTGGGAACTGTGATTTGTTGGGGGGTGCTAGGAATTGTAGCTCTAGGAAAGATCTTCTCTCAGTGCTTTAATGAACTACGACTTCCAGGATTCTCTGGGGGAAGCCATGAGAGTTGAAGTGGTAGAAGAGGGCTTTAAGTGCATGGTGTATATGTGAACTGACTTAGGATGTGGAATTGGGCATATTTAGCCTAGAGAATAGGGGCCTGTTTACTGAGCATTCATCCTGATTTGCTTCCAGAGAGATTAGACAGTGTTGTCTATTTAGTAAGCATTAGTTCTGGTTTGTTTAAGGGGAGGCTTTGTGATGTTTAGTCGAAAACCAGTATTACCACACACTTGCCTCATTGGGAAAAGTCTGTTACACCACAATAACTCCTAATCAAGTGTAACTGTACAACCTACATTTGCCAGTCTGTGGTTACATCCCACTGGGAAACAGTGAGAGACTGGGCAGACCCCGGAAGACTGATGCAGGACACGACAGCAGTCTTTAAAGTCCCGAAGGCTGTCACATGGAAGAAGGCAGGACTTGGGCAGAGAACCAGATCATATGGTTACAGGAGGGCAAATTTCGGAGGAACATTCGGCGAGACACTGTTTAATAGGAAGAGCAGTTTGACAGTGTAAACCAGTTACCTCCAGTTTCTCTCACTGGAGTTGTTCAAACAGAGGTTGTTTTTTCCTGCACTGAATGTGGTGTGTGTGTGTGTGTGTGTGTGTGAGAGAGAGAGAGAGAGAGAGAGAGAGAGAGAGACTAGACTGGTAGACTGGTCACAAGGCCCCCTCCAATTCTGCAATTCTAACCATGGAATCAGGTATCAGGTATCAGGATTTGCAGGACTGGAAAGAGTTTTGAGGACTGGAAAGAGGATCTTGTGGGGTCCTCTACTTAACCCACACCTTATATTCTCATGCAAAGCTTGATGCCTCAAGACACCCACACCCCCTCAAGAAAGGCTGCAGGAAATTTAAAGGCGGTGTGGAAACACCAAAGGGATGGGCTGTATCTCAGTGGTGGAACATCTCCTTTGCATGCAGAACGTCCCAGGTTCAATCCCCAGGATCTGCAGGTAGGCTTGGGAAAGAAGTTTGTATTGAGAGCCGCTGCCAGTCAAGGTTGACAATACTGAGCTAGGTGGACAATTGTCTGATTCAGTTCACTATGTTCCTTAGGAGAGCGAAAGGTGGGCCAATTCAGATTTGTTGACCCAAATGTCTGATGGAAGAGTTCTGTGTAACATGGAAGGCAGCATGTTTCAGCAACCACAAAAGCAGGTTTAAGTCAATAGCCATCTTAAAAAAAAAAAAAATCATTTAAATGTTGGTGCAAGAAGAAAAGCTGCAAAATCTCTTCTGTGTCTAACAGTAATCCAAGCTCCTACGTTTTTTAGCTCATTTGAGAAAAGGATTTTTAAAAAATTCTCAGAAGATATATACAAATGCAACAAAATAATTATGAAAAGGAAAAAAATGATCGTTTTATAGAATAAGAAAGAGGAAGTTTTAAACAGTGCAATTCTATACCCTCGTCCTATTGAGATCCAATGGGACTTACTCCTAGATAAGTGTGTACAAAAGAAAAGGAATAAGCTCCATTGGACTCAATGGACTGTATCCAAGTTAGTCATGCTCAGAGCAGACTCATTGAAATTAATGGACCTAGGTCATAATTTATCTATGGGTCTACTCTGAGTAGGGATGTATGAAGACATCTTCTGCCCTGTACTTTTTGCAGGCAGCACTGTTTCTGCTCTGCTGCAATTCACCTTCCACCAAAAACTATATTATTTGTTTCACTGTCTGCTGTGGCAAAATTACACAATTTATGTAACTTACAGAATTTATTACATTGTCATTACATTATTCTACTCCATTCGTTCAGTGCATAAGAAACACAATGTATTTTTTTGTGGGGGAAGGTTATCAATTATGTATCATTTGGATTGATTTCTGTTCTGGGCATTCCAGTAAATATTATACTGTATATATAATTCCAGTAAGATATTATATAAACAAGGAAATATATAATTCCAGTAAGACATTATATAAACAAGGAACTGCAGAAAGAGGGGGAGGGGAGTCAAAATAAGATATATATATACGATAAACGGTTTGCTTTTCAAGCTTTTCTCTTTTTTTGAACTTTTGTATGTTGTAAAATTAATTATATAAATAAAATTATTATTATTATTTTTTAAAAGATTCTGTTCTAGACAAGGGACGACTAAGCGAACACTGAAAATTTCTGCTCCTGTTTCTGTTGTCATCAGAAACCTCTGACATCCCTAACTCTGAGTATGACTAACACTGAATACAATCCAATAGGATTTGCTTCCAAGTCGACACGTATAGAATGGCGCTGTAAGTTATCATCTATGTGTTTGCTACCACCAAGACAGGGAGGAAGTCTACAGAGAGCTCTTTGGTAACTAGAAGGATGTTGCAATAAGGACAAATGATGCTTCTTTTGTTACATTTCAATTCCGATTGGTGCTTCTGGTCCAGCCAGCAGCTTTGCATTCTTGCTTTCATTTACAGTATTCTTTCCTGAATTCTGAAATCAAAAAGAGGAGATGGAGGATCAGGGGGATTTCATGCCAGGATTCCACTGAGCCACAGTTGCATGTATCCAAATTTGAACATATGCCCCCTCCCGAAAAAAATAGCATCCAAAGGACCATAGAGCTTCCAATAATTAAAAAAAGAAATAACAAATATAAACGGGGGCAGCTCCCAATTGAGTATTAAAAACAATTCAGCATTAAATATTAAAAACTTCCCTAAACAGGGCTGCCTTCAGATGTCTTTTAAAAACAAGATAGTTGCTTATTTCCTTGACATCTGATGGGAAGGCGTTCCACAGGGCAGGCGCCACCACCAAGAAAGCCCTCTGCCTGGTTCCCTGTAACCTCACTTCTCGCAGGGAGGGAACTGCCAGAAGGCCCTCGGCGCTGGATCTCAATGTCTGGGCTAAACGATGCGGGTGGAGATGCTCCTTCAGGTATACAGGACCGAGGCCGTTTAGGGTTTTAAAGTTCAGCACCAACACTTTGAATTGTGCTCGGAAACGTACTGGGAGCCAATGCAGATCTCTCAGGACCGGTGTTATGTGGTCCCAGCGGCCACTCCCAGTCACCAGTCTAGCTGCTGCATTCTGGATTAGTTGCAGTTTCTGGGTCACCTTCAAAGGTAGCCCCACGTAGAGCGCATTGCAGTAGTCCAAGCGGGAGATAACTAGAGCATGCAATAAATCACTCTCAATAGAAAAGCAAGCAGAATGATTCCAAAACCAAATTGAAGCAACCACAGCAATTAAAAGCATTGGGTTAGACTGGAAATGGCATGGCATGTTGATGGAGTACTGCTTACTCCTAACACTCGCTATGGCTAGTTCTACGCAGCCAACATGACTACGGGTCAAGGAGGCAGGTGGTTGGCCATACTTCTCCAAGTAATTTGTCTGCATCCTCAGGCTACAAGAAACTAAACTGACCCAGTATAGATGGAGCAGACTATGCTCTAACTGTGGCAACCAAATCTGAGTGATTTGATCCCTAAAGTGCCTTGCCTCTGAGGATGTCAGAGCAATGCTCTCTTGGCCAGAAAACAAAAGCCCATTCACCACCCAGAAAAGCGCTGCCAGAGGGCTACTTGCAGATGCAATGGTAGCAGAGGAGTAAGCTTTCTTCAATGCCGCTGCCACCATGCGGTAGGCACGATGGCGCAGCCTCACCCAGGTTCAGATCGCGACTTACACCACCTGCGCTCTAGCCACTGACCCTCCTGTTTCATAGCATGCAGGTCACTGGAAGGCCAAGGCAACCTGCTTGCCTCACTGCAACCATAAGGACACTCAGGAGCAATTGTTTCAACGGCTCTATTTATCTCACCATTCCACAGTGAAATGAGAGTGCCAGCTGGCTTGAGAAACAGCGCATTAAAAAGTAGCAGTTTATAGCAAAAGGCAGAAACACATGGATTTTGGACAATGTCGTGTGAATGCGGATTAAATACCCAGTGAGTGCACGGTAAACGGCAGGGAGAATTCTCAAATGTGGAAGAAAGTGTCAAGAAGATTCTGCTAGCACATCAGAAGCCAGCATGCCGGCATTTCTCCCAAAGGGAAACAGTGACTCATCACCAGCAACCAAAAATCAATCACAGAGCTCATAATAACCCCCTTGTAAGCAAGCTGTGGTGGGCTTGATGAGAGGGTCAAAGCTATGGAAACTCCTTTTCTCCATCTGTGGCTGGCTTTGCTAACACCAGAGGGTGACACACCCTCTCCCATCATGCACTGGGGAACTTCGGGAAGGGAAACACAAATTGCCCCAACTTCACCTCCTTCTCTTACCTTTATCTAAGTCAATGTTCTTAGGTGGGAGGACCCTGTTATGTTCTGCCTTCTCCTTCAGGATATTGTTCTTGTAATCTGTAGCAGGAAAAGATCTCAGTTCAATGAGCAGCACTGAACAGAAGCTGGTGGAGGCAAAAGCCCCAGAACACCCATCAAAGTTCCAAAGACAGTGTGCAGATTGGTTACTGGGGGGGGGGCTAAAGACGCGGGTGGTGCTGTGGTCTAAACCACGGAGCTTCCTGGGCTTGCTGATCAGAAGGTCGGCGGTTCGAATCCCCGCAACAGAGTGAGCTCCCGTTGCTCAGTCTCAGCTCCTGCCAACCTAGCAGTTTGAAAGCACGCCAAAAAGTGCAAGGAGATAAATAGGTACCACTCAGACGGGAAGGTAAACGGCATTTCTGTGCACTGCTCTGGTTTCGGTGTTCTGTTGCGCCAGAAGCAGCTTAGTCATGCTGGCCACATGACCCGGAAAAACTGCGGACAAACTGTCTCCCTCGACCTGTAAAGCAAGATGAGTGCCACAACCCCAGAGTTGTCTGCGACTGGACTTAACTGTCAGGGGTCCTTTACCTTTTTTAAAGAGGCCAGACCATTTGTGAACTTTTCAAAGAAAGAAACATAATATATGTGGGGCTGGTCCTTGGGGCTAGTCTGGAAGCTTCAGCTAGTACAGAATGCTGCAGCTAGACTTGTGACAAGCAATATCGAAAGCAACACGACAACAAACACTCATGAGCAGAAAGATGTGTAATTTCTTCATTAACCAATCTTTTTTCGATTTGATGTAATATACATGAGAATGAAAAATACTCTGGAACAGTGCTCATACGTTTATTACACATCTTTCTGCTCACGAGTGTTTGTTGAACTAATTGGCTGATGAAGAACTGAACGAAACAGTAGTCACTATCCGGAAACACTGTTCAGCAGAGTTCAATGTTGGACATCAGAATTGGACAATTGCCGATTATACAAAGCTTTACAAGCTTGACGTGACTTATTCAAGGACTTTCGGAGACTTCAGTTTGGTAATTTTGATGTTTTGCATTATTCCATAAAGTTTTCTATACTGTAATTGTTTCTGGCCACCGTGTTGCTTTCGCTATTGCTGAGTCACATTTTGCAACACGGAGACTTGTGACAAGAACAGCCTATTGCTAACACATGTCACCCGTCTTGAAAGAACTGCAGAGGATTCCCATCTGCTACTAGTACAAGGTTTAATATTCTGGTACCAGTGTATAAAGTCCTGAGTAACTTAGGCTCATCTTCCCCTGTATGTCCCAAGCAGATCATCCGGGGGAGCACTACTGGTGCTTCCTCATGAACCAGAAGCACAACTCTGTGTCAACAAAAAGTTGTGCTTTCAGTTTCAGTGCAGTGGGCTATGTGGCGATCCCTCCCACCAGAAGTCAGCCAGAATCTTTGCTGAGTTTCACACATCCAGTTAAAACCATTTTACTTCAGGAGAACTTTGCATCATGAATGTTCTGTTGTTCTTTCTTTAAATTTCTGAGGTTAATGTTTTAAATTTTTTATGTTTATTTTTTTATTGCTGTTAACCGCTTTGAGACCTACAGTGCATGGTGAAAAGCAGGATATACTGTACATTTTTAAAATAAACAAATAATGAATAAGAGAAGTCATGGCCGGGTATTGTTAACCCAGCTTCATAATTTGCATAATTTGTTTTACAGTGGTTCCTTGATTCTCTAACTTAATCCATTCAACTCCCGAAACTGTTCGAAAACCAAGGCACGGCTTCTGATTGGCTGCAGGAGCTTCCTGCACTCAAGCAGAAGCCACGTTGGATGTTCGGCTTCTGAAAAACATTTGCAAACCGGGTTACTTCTGGGTTTGCGGTGTTCAGGAGCCAATTTGCTCAGGAACCAAGCCGTTCGAGAACCAAGGTACCACTGTAATGTTCTTTCTGTATTTTTTAAAAGAAATTTTGTGCAATTCAACAGCTAATTAAACACCAGTTCAAGCTATGTTGCCTCTTCTCCCCATTGTTCTGGCATGCTGGCTCCAAAGCAATACGGTGGTACCTCGGGTTAAGAACTTAATTCATTCCAGAGGTCCATTCTTAACCTGAAACTGTTCTTAACCTGAAGCACCACTTTAGCTAATGTGGCCTCCCGCTGCTGCCACACCGCCGGAGCACAATTTCTGTTCTCATCCTGAAGCAAAGTTCCTAACCCGAGGTACTATTTCTGGGCTAGCGGAGTCTGTAACCTGAAGCGTATGTAACCCGAGGTACCACTGTACTAGTTTTCAGAGTTCAGCTCTAGAATGTGTAAAGGGCATGCTTACCACTCCAAAACAACCTCCAACACTTACCCAGCTTAATATCTTCACTTTTGTAGTTGGATACATCTGGTGTGTGGACTGGGAACTCGCTGAGATTCACTTCTTTCCTGGCAAAGCAAAAGAGGAGGGTTCTGATTTTGCATTTCTAGCACTAGATTATACATCATCACATCCGTGCAATGGATGGCAATGGACTCTGCTTGACACTTTTGAACTTTTAATCACTCAGGGTGTTATTTCAATGAGCACAGAGGCTAGAAAAAGATGTTTGCTTAAATGAACATTGATGGCTACTAGCTAATATAAACTGAGGCTGCTTTAAAATGCAACACACTTTGTCAGGATGTTTGCCTGATCCCCATAAGTAAACAAATATATGCTATTTAGATGATAAATTGGAGAAGTGCAACATCTGATGGTTAACTGCAACCCAAGTGAGACATTAGTCCAGGAACGGCATATCAGAACAATTCATACTGGATTTTTTTAACAAATGAAATCCTCATGCATTCGTAATTTCAATGTTCTACTTATTGATGGACAACAAGTCCCTTTGGTGCAAGGAACCAGTTTCTACTCACTCATCAAATTTTCTCACGTTGCACTCAAAACCTAGAAAAGAGAAAGAAAAGTCACTCAAGGGCTTTGACATCAGGGAACCATTTTTTGCAGGCATGAATAAGCAGTCACAAACCAATTCACATCTCATTTTCATGATGCTTGTTGATCGAACCAGTTCCCACTTTAGCAGCCATCCATTCTGAACTGACAAGATATTATGGGGTGCGCATACGTGCCTGAATCAGACATGGTACTGTATTTTTCGCTCTATAAGACGCACCAAACCACAAGACGCACCTAGTTTTTGGAGGAGGAAAACAAGAAAAGAAATATTCTGAATCTCAGAAGCCAGAACAGCAAGAGGGATCGCTGCACAGTGAAAGCAGCAATCCCTCTTGCTGTTCTGGCTTCTGGGATAGTTCCGCAGCCTGCATTCACTCCATAAGACGCACACACATTTCCCCTTACTTTTTAGGAGGGAAAAAGTGCGTCTTATAGAGCAAAAAATACGGTACTTTCTTTTGGGAAACCCCGTTCATACCTGTTGCAACCTGTGCTATAATGGATGCAAGGAATGGATTTCATTCATTACAAAATAAACGCACTCCTCTACTCAGAACTCCTTCAAACCTCAGCTCAAAACCCACAAATGGGTGGACCTTCCTAGGATGGAGAGCAGAAGGCCAAGCGGGGCTGTGCGTGTGTGACTTCAGCTGATGCAGGAAGCTGGAGAGACAGAGGCTTGTCTCGCTCTGGGCTAGACCCAAATCTGTGGCTTGGGGATCGCCCTGGGAATCTAATGAGGAAGAAAGATCTATGGGTGTGTTAACATTGTGAGTCCCTCCATCCTAGGCTCAGGTTGAAAATATGTGTAAATAAAACCATAAAGTCACTCCAGTCTCCAGTGACCTTCATTCCAAAGAAACTGAACCCTGGGAGAGAGCAGACACCCCTGAAACAGTATTGAAAGCAGGATTGCATATAACTGTCCCCAACACCATCACGAGCACAAAATCACCATGAACACAAAATAAATAGGACATCAGTAGGGCCCCAGATGCCCAGAAACTCACCTCTTCTCCGGCGCTTGCGTGTGATGAGTACCACAAGGATCAGGAGCAGAATAAAGAGCAGTAGCGTTGCCAGGATGTACCCTAACTGGTGGAAGAAATGAGCACGGCTCTCAGGAATGATGACATTGATCACGTTGTGGCCACGGCCGGCATTTGGATCTGGGTGGCAGAGAGGGGAACCGAGAAGAAGAGGTGGGTCAATGGTTATTCTTGCAGGAGGGAAGAAACTAACAAACTAGGTAACAGCTCATAACAAGCCAGACTGTGGCTCAATGGTACAGAGTACATGCTTTGCATGTAGGAAGTCATAGCCTCAGCCTCTGGGAAGCGCATAGGCAGGGCATGTTGGCAACAGACCATTCCAATGGTTGACCTTCAGCACATGATCATAGGATGCTGTCTTATCCCAAGTCTGATCACTGGTCCATCTAGCTTAGTGCTGTCATGGCACAATTAAAGTATCAGATTCTAGCTGTCTGATATTAACCCATAGGTAACTGCAAGAGTGGCTGAGCTTCTGTCAATAGTATCTCTTAGAGTGATGAATGGCACAGTTTAGCAGGAAGACACTCCAAGTAAAATTTCTGTTTCTATATATCTGATATGGCTGCTTCTTTGCATATCGTTTTTGAAAATTGTATATGGATGTTTTAAGATGGTCTATATCTGCAATGCCTAATAAAGGTTTGGAGAAAGAAAGAAAGCTTAATGCTGTCTACACTGACATGCAGCAGTATCCCAGGGTTTCAGGAATATTTCAGCACCTTACCTGGAGATTGAACCTGAGTCCTTCTGCATGCAAGGCAGGTGCTCTACAGGCCTCAGCTACAGCCCTTTCCTGGGCTGCATATTCAGGGATATACTGCTAAATGGAGACGCCACTTAGCTATCATGGCCAATAGCCATTGATAGACTGACCCTCCTCCATCCATTTGTCTAATCCATTTGCGGCAGTAGATTCCATACATTAATCACGTGCCCTATCACTGAGAAGTATATCCTTTTGCCTGTCTCAACTCTTCTGAAAAGTCAGCTTCAATCAATGAGCCTCACAGAAGAAAGGAAGGGAGAAAATAAATGTTTTCCATTAGACTGTAGGCTCAACTCTTAATGGCTGCCACTACTAACATCTATGAAACAAAATAACATAGCGCACATCATACCAAGTTACGCCATTTGTCCATCTGGGTTACTCTAATCCATGGGTAGGCAAACTAAGGCCCAGGGGCCAGATCCACTCCAATCGCCTTCTAAATCTGGCCCCCGGACAGACCGGGAATCATCATGTTTTTACAAGAGTAGAATGTGTCCTTTTATTTAATATGCATCTCTGGGTTATTTGTGGGGCATAGGAATTTGTTCATTCCCCCCCCCATATAGTCCGGCCCCCCACAAGGTCTGAGGGACAGTGGACCAGCCCCCTGCTGAAAAAGTTTGCTGACCCCTGCTCTAATCAGCAGCAACTGTCTGAGCCAGAAGTTTATCAAATCACTTGCTGTTGGGGTTTTTTAACTAGTTTCTCATTTTCCCAAATTTTAACTCCAGTTCTGCACATTTCCATATGGGTAAAATGGATAGCTCAGTTGGTTAGAGTGTGGTGCTGATAACGCCAAGGTTGCAGGTTCGATCCCTGTATGGGACAGCTGCTTGCAGGGGGTTGGACTAGATGGTCCACAGGGTCCCTTCCAGCTCTTATGATTCTCTAATTCTAATTCTACGACCAACAATCCGCAAGCAAAACGGGATGAGTGCTCATTGCTGTATAACCGATCCACCAACAATTCAGAATGAATCCTAAAGAAAAACCAGGCACAGCCTATCTAACTTCTGTGTAAGCTTCCTGCAGGCAAATCAGAACGGATGCTCAATCAACAGATCGTTAGGAGGAACCTTATGTGCTGTAAACCTTACCAAGGGGAAGGAATGTTGAGGCAGGCCAAGAGAGCGAGTTTAGATAAAACAAAATAAAACCACACATGCGTGCGCACACTGAAAAAAGAACAGCAATGCAGGGAGTAAGCCAGAAATCCATTCCTTTACAGGGCGTATGTTGAGCTGGAGAAGGGAAACTTTAGAGAAAGTCGCCAGTGCGGAATGTATCTCTCTGGACAGATTAACCAGGCAGATCATGTTTAAAAGAGAGATTTGGAGCCATTCAAAGGGGTTAGACAAATCCAGATGAGCGGCTGATAGCGGCAGTCTGGGTTTGTTTTGTTTAATTTACCTTGAGGGGCAGGAGGTTAGGGCAGGAGCTCTTTTTGCTTTGTGGAATGTCTCACTGCCCACACCCAACACAAGTCTGAACCGCAGTCCCTATCAGTGGTGCTAGTGCCCATTGGGACTGATGGAGTGGCTGTAGACATGCAAGGAGGCTGAGATTTCTGCCCTGCCATGCCTTTCCTCCTTTCTGCTTCAGTTCTGGTTCCACTAAAACCTATGTTGCTCATTTGGCTATCCACTATGGCCGGAACTAATGCAGTAAGTACTGGGTTGCGTCCAACGAATTTTTACTGGGAGCAGGCCCACTGAAATTAACGAAAGTCAGATATGCCCATTGATTTCAATGGCTCCACTATGAGTAGGACTAGCATTGGATACAACCCCATTAAATTAAATACTTAATTAACTTCAATGGGAGGAAAACACAGAAAGTGACAAAACGGTTTATGTCACATTTGCGAAGAAGAAAATAATGCTTGCGTGATTTCCATTCCTGACCTTGGGGCAAACCTGCCGATTGTGGCAATTAACCCTCCCATTTCTGTTTCCGACGGAATTCTCAGTCTTCTTCTCTGGGTGGAAGGCAAGGAGACCGACAGTAGGTGGAGACATAGCCAACTCATGCGAGTTTTGTCCCCATCTGAGACTAAGGGGGAGTGCCACACCCTGGACTGGTTATGAGTAAAAATGCAGGCAATTCTCAAGGTGGCCAACCAGATGTCTATGGAAAGCCTGCACTTTCCCCGATTGCGATTCCCAGCGACTGGTATTCAGAGGCATACTGCCTCTGACAGCTGAAGCATTTGTTGTTGTTGTTGTTGTTGTTGTTGTTACATTTATATACAATTTACAGAGCCATTGTGGCAAGTAGCTATGGCAAGCCTCCTCCTCTAGACAGGGCTAACTCAAAATTAGGCAAAATTTCAACTCTTTCCCCACTGAAACTTAAGCTACAAGGCAGCCTTCAAGCCCAGCAAAGACACTGCAACATATGTTGAAGATGTTCTAATTGATGGTGATAACGCCACGCTAACCTTCCCTTTTCACAAAATATGAGCAATCCATAAAAACAGGGAACAGATGGCTTATTGCTGTTGCAGTTTTAAAAAGAAAAAGTGCTGGGCGGGGGGGGGGGGGAGAGAGAAGCACCTTCCACTGAAAGCCATAGAGTTAACTTCAGATTTGACGGCGAGGATCAGCCAAAATAGAACTAGGCCATGTTGATATTGTAAGCAGAATAACATTTCCTGTCTAGAGAACTGTTCCAGATTTGGAGCTGTGCCCAGGATTAAGAGGATCCAAGGAAAAGCTTCGTGGCTATGATTTATCTTTATCTTTCCTTACGTGTGCATGTGTGTTTTAAGGCTCTGTCCCTGTAGGAGTTTACACGGTCACACAGCAGGGGTTCAAGAGGCAGTTGCAGCAACTCTCGCTGCTGAGTAAACACAAATCCATTTCTCACTGTGCTGCTTTTCAGGGGCAGAGGAAGGGGGTGCAGGGGGTGCAGACAGTCCCGGGTGTCACCACGGAGGGGGGTGACAAAATCCCAGGTGGCACTCACCTCAGGGCCTGCAGCGCACCCGAACCATACGTCTCTCCTGGGAGAGACGCAGTGGCTTGGGCGTGCGCAGGCTCCGCACTGCCCAAACGGTCCACCAGCTGCCCCCTCCCCAGGTGTAGGGCGGCTGAGTGGGAGGAGGCAGGCAGACTCTGGAGGCCCTGCGATGTGCCTCTCCCCTATGGGGGTCTCATCCTGCCCCTGGGCACGCCACCCCAGGTGCCCGAGCGGCTTCCTCCACCGCCGCCACTTTCCCCCAGTACAGTGGTACCTCGGGTTAAGTACTTAATTTGTTCCGGAGGTCCGTACTTAACCTGAAACTGTTCTTAACCTGAAGCACCACTTTAGCTAATGGGGCCTCCTGCTGCTGCCGCGCCACGGGAGCACGATTTCTGTTCTCATCCTGAAGCAAAGTTCTTAACCTGAAGCACTATTTCTGGGTTAGTGGAGTCTGTAACCTGAAGCGTATGTAACCCGAGGTACCACTGCATTGGGGAAAACCAAACATGCAGTGAAGACGGAAGATTCACAACATACAGAAGAAAGTAAGAACATAAGAAGGACCTGCTGGATCAGGCCAATGGCCTACCTAGTCCAGTATCCTTCTCTCACAGTGGCCACCTGTGGGAAACCAGCAAGCAGGACCTCCAACGCCACAGCACTCTCCCCTCCTGTTGTTTCCAGCAGAAGCTTGCCTGCCTTTGGCAGTGGAAGCTGAGGATGGCCATCAAAGCTAGCAGCCTTCTCTGTTGTTTTTTTTAGTACAGTGGGTGGTGCTGTGGGTTAAACCACTGAGCCTAGGGCTTGCTGATCAGAAGGTCAGTGGTTCGAATCCCCACGAGCTCCCGTTGTTCGGTCCCTGCTCCTGCCAACCTAGCACTTCGAAAGCACGTCAAAGTGCAAGTAGATAAATAGGTACTGCTCCGGTGGGAAGGTAAACGGTGTTTCCGTGCGCTGCTCTGGTTCGCCAGAAGCGGCTTAGTCATGCTGGCCACATGACCCGGAAGCTGTATGCCAGCTCCCTCGGCCAATAAAGCGAGATGAGCGCCGCAACCCCAGAGTCGGCCATGACTGGACCTAATGGTCAGGGGTCCCTTTACCTTTGGTTGAGAACGTTCCGGAGGCCGTTCGCAACATGAAAAGCCCGCAACCTGAAGTGCCGTATCTGCGCAGGTGCGTGGCGCAATTTGGCACTTGTGTGCATGCGTGAGCAGCGAAACCCAGAAGTAACCCTTTCTGGTACTTCCAGGTCGCCGCGGGACGCAACCTGGAAAACGTATCATGAAGCAAACATAACATGAGGTATGACTGTACTTCTTCACACAATGCAATAGTTAAACCACCAGAATTTGATCCAGTGAAAGGTAGCGCCTTATAAAGGGGATCAGACAAACTCATGGAGGAGAAGGCTACCCATGGCTAGAAGCCATTATTATTATTATTATCTACTTTCCCTCACTGTCAGAGGCAGTAAACCTCTAGGTTCTAGTTGGCAGGAATCACAAAAGGGGAGAGTTCTCTTGGCCTCAGGTCCTGCTTGTTAGCTTCCCAGGGGCATCCGGTTGACCATTGTCAGAAGAGGATGCTGAGACTGGATGTAATGGGAGGATGGGCGTTATTCCTAACTGTTTATTGCTAGGATTAGTGGGGTGTTTGGGTTTGGGTTTGGATGTGGGTGTGTGAGGAGAGCTGAGTGCAAAGGTCTGATCCAGCAGAGCTCTTCTTGTAATCTTTACAAGCCGGTGAGAACTTCCAGCTGCCTTTCCGAAGCGAAAAGACAGAAGGAAAATAAATACTGTTCCCATTGGTTCAGCAAGTTCTCCCTGCTCAGAAAAAGAAAAGAAGGAAAACTCCACCCAGGAGTTTGAGATGTGGAAGGGGGCAGGAAACACCCCCCCCCCAAAAATCAGCTGTTTTTGTTATGCACTGCTTAGAAATATATTTCCCTCAGGATTTGGGACAATTTTCTGGTTGTAATCGAAATAAATTCCACTCGTTGTTTGGGGGGTGGATGGGAACGGTTTCTTCTCATTCAGTTTCTCTATGATTGGTTGTTGTTTTTTTTCAACTTTGCATGTGCAAATTTGAATCGTGCCTTCTGACTTATTCCCATAAGGCCAGCTGCTCCCATATGGCATCTGATTTCTTCCCCCATTCCACCACTCGTGAACCCAACACACTGCGGTGCTCCATAAACTACCATCACCAGCCCATTAAAAAATTATCATGCCATCTTCAGCTTCAATATTAAACAGCCAATAAATATTAAAAGCATGATAAATATTTTAAAATGTTAATAAGCATTGAGCTGTACCCTGCAGGTTTTCTTTAAAAAATGATTTCAAAACTCCACATATATTTCTCACTGTTTTGATTGGGATAGCTTTAAAAAGAGAACAAGATTGAAAGGTACCTACTTATTCTGGAGATGGAAAACATGGAATGGAGTGAAACTGAGAAGGATGTGGCTCTTTTGAGCTTTGGGCAACCATTTTCCACATTGACCTGTTTGTCATGGAACCCCTGTTGCAAAGGATTCTGGTATGTAAGTGATGTTGTACGCCTGATTCACCCTTGAATCCTCCACAACAGCAGTTCCACGATGGTGTCATGACCCTGAAGTGCACAGGGTCACCGTGGGCTGAGGAGCTGGACCATGTTCCTGGCTCTGAGCTTGATGGTGGTGAACAAGAGCTCACTGAACCTGAGACAGCCCACCGCACCAGGACTCCTAAAACCAGAGCAGGAACCAACACAGGTGGAGTGGAAAAAGCCATCTGAGAAGGAATCCCTATCCTTATTGGGACAGGAGTTGGGGTAGGAAGGTGAGCTTGAACCACCTCCCTTCCGAACTGAGGCCTACATGAGGAGGCGTCACCTCAGATACCTTGTTCTTATGAGTGGGCAAACTGTTATGATGAGGTGGTCATCCCCCCCCCCAAAAAAAATAAGTATCTTACACTCATGTGGTGGAGAAATCATTGTGAGAGTGACATCCATTTTCTCACAAGAAAGATCCTTGCCTTTCTTAAGGGGGCTTTTTGTTGTTGTTTTTGCTGAAGAAGCAGCCATTTTCTTCAGAGCAAAGACCCTTATCTTTCACGAGGAGAAATAATTTGTTCAAGGGGCAGCCAATTTCTCTCAACCGAGTTCCTTGGGTTGTATCCAGTGCTAATCATACTTAGAGTAGACCCACTGAAATTAATACACATAACCAACTTCAGTCCATTCATTGCAATGGGTCTTCTATGAGTAATACATAGTTGGCATCAACCTCTTCTATAGATAAGATAAAGAAGCAGCCATTTTCTTCTCACAACAAAGTTCCTTATCTTTCACAAGGGGGCAAATGTTTTCCTGCAGCAAAATTGCCTCCTTTGATGCAGCAAAAAGTGCCTCCTTTGATGGAAGACCAATTTTGACTATGTGCGTGTTGAAACTACCTACCTGCAGCCGGCGCATTGTGACGAGTGAAGTTCACCACCACCACCTTCTTTTCCGGTTCCGGCTCCACAACAGAGACCTGGAAGATCCTGCGCTCATGAAGGCCACAGTAATGATGGTGGAGGTGGCAGGAATAGGTGCCTTCATCAGCCACTTCCAAACCGGATATCCTCAAGGAGAAGTCTCCCTGGGCGAAAGCCTTGTCAGTGATATTCATCTTTTGCCGGATGAACAAGGGACCATAAGAGCGCCCCTCTCCAGAGGCGTACAGGTCAATGAGGCGATCGGCCTTGTCATGAGGCACCCCTGGTGGCTGCCAGTCCCAGTGGACCACCTGCTGGTCCTCTTCATCGTGCCGCTCGGTCCAGATTTGGTTCCGGTTAATACAGGGGAGTAAGACGGCGCTTCCCTTCAGGGCCACGATCACAACTTTCTCCCCATCCCAAAACTTCTGCACTTCTTCGACTGTTGAAAGAACCGTGCAAAAGATACAGTGAGGGGGGAAAGTATTTGATCCCCTGCTAAATTTGCCCGTTTGCCCTCTGATGAAGAAATGACCTGTCCGTAATTTTAATGGTAGGTTTATTGTAGCTGTGACAGACAGAATAACAACTACAATTAAGGAGATACCATTTTACATGTGCTGTTTGCCAAGCACTGGGACGTTCAAAGCAACCTTTGCTGTGACAAGCCTATAAGCGCCAACTCTCCTCACCAACATGCTATGAAAAAAGACAGGCATGGAAACAGGTGTGTCTTCCAACAAAGACCCATATCTCCTAGAACTATGAGGCCATGGAGAAGCTCAGTTACCTTCCCTGACCTCTACTCAGTGACTTTAGCTTTTGGTCTTCGATGCTTGGTTCTGGAGTGCTTTATTCTATTTTGACTTGACTTTGTGTTGCCTAGACCAGGCATGAGGAACCGCTGACCCTCTAGATCAGGGTTTCCCAAACTTGGGTCTCCAGCTATCTTTTTTGGACTATGGTTCCCATCATCCCTGACCACTTGTCCTGCTAGCTAGGGATGATGGGAGTTGTAGTTCAAAAACAGCTGGAGACTCAAGTTTGAGAAACCTTGCTCTAGATCAGTGTTTCTCAACCTTTGGGTCCCCAGATGTTGTTGGACTACAACTCCCATCATTCCTAGCCAGCATGACCAGTGGTCAGGGATGATGGGAGTTGTAGTCCAACAACATCTGGGGATGCACAGGTTGAGAACTGCTGCTCTAGATGATGCTGGCCGTTCATCATCCCTGACAAATTAACCATGCTGGCTGGGAGAGATGGGAGTTGGGAGCTTAACCATATCTGGATGGCTACAGGTTCCCCATCTCTGTTTTAATCCATCTTAATAAAAGCCAGAGCAACCACTCATACCGAGACATAGGAGGGAGTCTTCTTTCTGGAGAGTGATCCCAGCTCCCAAGAACCTTCCACCCAAGGATGGGGAATTTGTGATCCTCCAGATGTTGCTAGCCTACAACTCCCATCATCCCTGACCATTGCCCATGCTGGTTGGAGCTGATGGCAGCTGGAGTCCAACAGCACTTGGGGTCTCCTGTTCCACATCCCTGGCCAAGGTTCCAGCCTGTGGTTGACTTTGCTGTGTGGAATTGCCTCCAAAGATGCTCAGAAAGCAAGACTTAAACTGGCTGGTGCAAGATGCCATGTATGACTCAAGGTACTTTCCAAAGCAGCTTTAGATGTGAGCGAGCAAAGCCATATTGCCAATTAAGAACACATCTGTTGCTCCTTATCTTCTCCTCCACAAAACCAGGAGAGGAGCCATATTCTGAGCTATTGCACAGATGAATGGCATGACGGTACAAATTGAATCAAGCTTTTCCCAGCATAGTGAATCACAAGAAAATCATGACCAAGTTGCAGCGTGTAGTGAGGAGAAGGTGTCAAACTTGGACCGGGAAGAGCAGAGTTCAAATCCCCCACTCATCTGAGCCATCTGTCAGCCTAGCCTCATTCTGAGTGCCCTTTTTCTGAACCTTTTCTAACGCTACCATGTGCTTTCTGAGGTGAGGCTTACTAAGAACTATACTGGGCACAAGCCCATACAGTCTTTTGAAAAGTCCCAAATTTCCCTACCCCCTAAATCAGCCTTCCTGAACCTGATGCTACCACCCGACTCCAAATGTTTTGGACTCCATCATCCTTGATGAACTTTCTGGCTGCAGCTGCTGGGAGTCATAAAAAGGTAAAGAGACCCCTGACCATTAGGTCCAGTCGTGGCCGACTCTGGGGTTGCGGCGCTCATCTCGCTTTATTGGCCAAGGGAGCCGGCGTACAGCTTCCAGGTCATGTGGCCAGCATGACTAAGCCACTTCTGGAGAACCAGAGCAGCACACGGAAAAGCCGTTTACCTTCCCGCTGGAGCGGTACCTATTTATCTACTTGCACTTTGACGTGCTTTCGAACTGTTAGGTTGGCAGGAGCAGGGAGCTCATCCCGTCGTGGGGATTCGAACCGCCGACCTTCTGAGCGGCAAGTCCTAGGCTCTGTGGTTTAACCCACAGCGCCACCCGCGTACCTGCTGGGAGTCATAGTCTGACACAAATTGGAAGACGCCAGATAGGGGAAAGCAATCCTCCTGGTTTCAAAGGGTTTGCTAGTCCGCACAGAGAGGGAGAAGCCTGGAATTATCCTAGGCCTCATTTTCAGCACGGTACAGCTGATGCTCCTCTAAGCCTTTTGATGCAGCCTTGTGACAGGAAATGCTCCGATGCCCACAAACATCTTAATTACAGCTCCCTGGCCATCCATTTGCTCTGTACATGTGGCTGCCTCAAACAAGACTTGTGCGAGTTTACAAAAGAGGAACACGATGGGGAGCAAAAACACTAGGCACAAACACACACACACACCCCCTCCCGCTTTCATCTTGCTGCACATCTTTTACAACAACAACATTTACCTTCTTCGGTTACATCCAGTTGTATCTTCACAATTTCGTACAGGTGACAGTAATGGTGGTGGAGGTTACAAGAGTAGATGCCTTGGTCGCTCCTGGAGATGTCTTGATTGAAATGCAGTAAGGAGAGAGAGGGAGAGAGAGAAACATAGCTGTCAACCTTCCCTTTTTTGGGGGGAAATTCCCTTATTCCAGCGCCATTTCCCGCTGCTTCCCGCTGCTATCCCGGATTGTTAGATATCCCATAGACTGTCCCCGGGACAGGTGAGGCTGCTGATCCCTTATTTTCGAGGCTGCTGATCCCTTATTTTCAAATCTGAAAGTTGGCAGCTATGGAGAGAACTTTGGCATCCAGGTAAGAAAACCATGGGGTTGCAGCCAATGCTAGTCTTGCTCAGAGTTGACCCATCCAAGTTAATGGGCAAGACTAACTTCAGTTCCTTAATTTGCACAGGTCCACTATGAGCCAAACTTAGTTAGAGAAGGAAGGGACCCTGACGGTCACCTAGATCAACCCTCTGCTCAGTGCAGAACTATTGCAGCTGCAGCATTCTTGACACATACCTGCCCAACCTCTAGTAAGATATATCCAGCTAAGGTGAGCCCACCACCTCCCAAAGTTGGTCACATCCCTTCCCCCAAAGCATCCCGAGAACTGTAGCTTACCCCTCGGGCACTGCGCTACAGTTCTCTACAGCCTAATGAAATAAACCAACAATCAGTATCTCCTGTTTAAGGATCAGTGGTAGATGATGAAGGGCAGGGGAAGGAGCTATTTCCCTGAGCTTCATCATGTCACTTTCTAACAGGGAAAATTCACCACAAGGTGATCATTTCCACTGCACCTGGAGTAGAATCATAGGATGGAAGGGGCCCTCGTGTGGTGAGAGCTGGTATTTAGCAAGCCAAACTTCAAGCTCGCTCAGGATGCTAAAGACCCCAGTTCTGGGATACTCCATTCTGTTCCCCCCTGGTTTCCCCTCACACTCAGACAAAACACACACACTGATGGCTGGTGCTCATGGGGACTGGTGGAGCTGCAGACAAGGAGACCAACAGTAGGTGGAGCTAGAGCCAATGACAAGCAGAACCACCCCTTGAAGGGATGTGAGGAAGGAAGGTGGGGCTGTCAGGGTAGACTGGGACTGGACCAGTCTCCAATGTACACAGCTATGCGCTCCCCCAGAACAGAATTGCAGCATTCTGTGGCCACAGAGCATGCTCAGCTCCTACTGGGCTGCTTTAGGCCCTGTTGCCAGTACTAACTAATCAGATCTTTACATGATGGGCTACTCATTAATGCGTTATATTTACACCCCTGCTTTGGCCCAAACTGGCAAACGAAAACAAAAAAGAAAATTAATACTGCTTTATGATTTCTACTGGTCCAGTGTTTACTTCTCTTGGGTTTTTAAAAATGCTGCTTTTGTTTATTTTTAAAATATTTATTCTCTTTGTTAACTTCTGGGTTTTTTGGGGGTGGGGTGCTGTAAAAGAAAAAGAAGGATAGATTTGGAACATAGGAAGCTGCCTCATAACTGAGTCAGACCATTGGGTCCATCAAATTAGGTCAGCATTGCCAGCACTGGCTGGCAGCCCTACTGAGAGATGCCAAGAGTGGAACCCGATACCTTCTGCATGCAAAGCAGATGTTCTGCTACTGAGCTATGGCTCTTCCTGTCTGCTCATTTCACACCCAGGCAAAGTGTGTGTGTGTGTGTGTGTGTGTGTGTGTGTGTGTGTAACTATCTTGGGTTCTGGTACCTTTGACTACCAGTGAGAAGTTGCCATCCACAAATGCATTTTCTGGCATGAAAATCCGCCCTTGGTTGTATCCGCTGTAGACTCGCTGATCCCCGGCCGAATACATGTCGCACAGTCGCTCAGCATTGTAGTCTCCATACTGGTTCCTGTACAGATCCCAGTGGACCACACGCTGGCGGTCGTTCAGGCGGTCCTGGGTCCACACCATCCTGTAGCTCTTACAGGAGAGGACCGTTCGAGTGCCCGCCTTGGCAGTGATGTTCTGCACAGACACTACTACGCTCTCGAGATTGGAAGCATCCACTGGGGCTGTCATATGGGAGAGAGAGGGGGGAAGAAGAAGAAGCCACGTGGGGAGATGCACCCACAATCGAAAGCTTGTCTTTCTCTGCCCACCAGGACTTGAACCCACAACCGCACGGAGGCCAACCTAAGAAGAGCCCCACTGGATCAGGCCAAAGGCCCACCTAGTCCAGCATCCTGTTCTCACAGTGGCCAATCAGATGCCCCGAGAGGAAGCCCAAAAGCAGGAGCTGCTCTCCCCATATGTGATTCCTGGCTATTGGTTGTACACAGAAGCTTACTGCCTCCAACAGTGCAGCTACAACAATAGCTGTGATGGCTAATCTGCCTAACCACTGGTAGCTCTAGCCTAGTGCAGATCATATCTCTTTACAGCTGATACAACTCTCATACTGTAGCAACTCAATCCCATACATGCCTTATTTCTGAGAAGTCCCAATTGATTCAATGGGGCTTTCTCCCAGGTAAGTGTACATGGGGTGTCAGTCCAGCTCTGAGAGCCAGTGTGCTGTAGTGGTTAGAAGTGCTGGATCAGGACCTGGGAGGTAAAGGTAAAGGGACCCCTGACCATTAGGTCCAGTCGTGACCGACTCTGGGGTTGCGGCGCTCATCTCACTTTACAGGCCGAGGGAGCCAGCGTACAGCTTCCGGGTCATGTGGCCAGCATGACTAAGCCGCTTCTGGCGAACCAGAGCAGCACACGGAAACGCCGTTTACCTTCCTGTCAGAGCGGTACCTATTTATCTACTTGCACTTTGACGTGCTTTCGAACTGCTAGGTTGGCAGGAGCAGGGACCGAGAAACGGGAGCTCACCCCATCGCAGGGATTCGAACCACCGACCTTCTGATTGGCAAGTCCTAGGCTCTGTGGTTTAACCCACAGAGCCACCCGCGCCCCCAGGACCTGGGAGACCAGGGTACAAATCCCCACTTGGCCATGAAGCTAACTGAGTGATTTTGAACTAGGCATACTCTCTCAGCCTAACTTCCCCCACAAGGATGTTGTTGTTGTTGCTGAAGGCTAAAATGGGGAAAGAGGGAGATGCCACCTTTGGCTCCTTATAGGAAAATGCAGGTTATAAATGTAAAATAAATAACCACTATAACAATTTATAAGGATTTTTAAGGTCAAGGAGACAGATTCCCACCCCCACCCCCAATCCACGCCAACCCCATAACCACCAGGCCCACAAATTAATAAGGTTTTTGTGGCATTCAACATGGTTTGATTGCAGTAATTATTAGTATTACTGTTATTTAGATTACTTGGTTGCTTGTTACCAAAAGGTTGCCAAGTGACTTACAAGAAGTTTAAAAACATAAATGCATTATTACACCATTAACATAATTCATACAAAGCAGCTGAAGTTCATATGAAATATCTGTATTTACCTGAATAGGGATGGACAACAGACTCTGAAAGGAGAAAGAAAAAGAAAATATTAGTGACACAATAGGTGGATCTGCATTGATTAGTTGTGTTTCCTCTCAGGGATTTGACTTGGCAAGCCAGGATGCAGCCTCAAAAGGATTCAGGGACACAGATCCCCACCAAGCGGATGCACCAACTCTGTAGCCGTCAGACATGTCATCCCCAAAACTACCAGGCCTCCAACAGGACATGGGAATCCTGTAACACTAACCCGCTTGCTGATAACCTTCTGTCAAGACGCCAACCCCAGAGAGCCAGCCAGCTTGGTTTCTGTTTCGCCCTGCCATTTTGGATTTGAAGAAGAAGAGTTTGGATTGGATATCCCGCTTTATCACTACCCAAAGGAGTCTCAAAGCGGCTAACATTCTCCTTTCCCTTCCTCCCCCACAACAAACACTCTGTGAGGTGAGTGGGGCTGAGAGACTTCAAAGAAGTGTGACTAGCCCAAGGTCACCCAGCAGCTGCATGTGGAGGAGCGGAGACGCGAACCCAGTTCACCAGATTACGAATCTACTGCTCTTAACCGCTACACCACACTGGCTTTTGCGTACTAATTGGTATCTAACATGTTTTTAACTTACTGCCATCCATTGCTTGCGAATGACATTATCTGTTGTTACGGATTATGTTAAGAGTCCTTGGATGTTTTTTTTCATGGAAAGGCAAGTTGTAGAAACTGTGGCCGTCTTCCAGACATTGCTCCCATCACCCTTGGGCATTGGCCATGCCATTTGCAGATGACAAGGGTTGGGAGTCCAACGACATCAGGAGGGCTACATGTTCCGCACCCATGATCAATAAAGAGACTAGCTGCTACCTCGTTGCAACAGTTTTTTTGCAGGTCTATTTGCTGTTCAAGTAATATTAACAGAGGTAGGCCCATAGCTCAGCGGTAGAGCATCTGCTTTGCATGCAGAGGGTCCCAGTTTCAATCCCAGGCATCTCCAGGTAGGGCTGGGAGAGGCTCCCTGCCTGAAACCCTGGAAAGCTGCTGCCAGTCAGTGTAGACAATACTGAGCCAAGTGGACTATTGGTCTGACTCTGCATAAGGCAGCTTTGTCACACTCCTTTCCAGGGCACAAGGCAGGTCTGTCTGAAACCCTGGAGAATAGCTGCCAGCCAGTGTAGAAAATACTGAGCTAGATGGACCAGTGGTCTGACGCTGCATAAGGCAGCTTTCTACAGTCCTACATTCCTATTTCATTTCTTTCTTGTGGCACATTAGCAGCTCCCTCTTGCTGCACATTGTTTTGGGAATTGCTGCGCTAAGGCCTGGCCTTCCACGTTTCCCAGTGTTTTCCTCACGGGTGAATCTCCTCCCACAGCGGACATTTTGGAAAAGGAAAAGCCAACTGTATAAGCAAAGAGCTCTTACTCCCCTCTCTGCCCTTGGAAAGTCCAGGCGTTTTGGGGGTTGGTTGTGTTGTTTTTTTTTAACAGTGCCGGCAGCAGATATGTTCCCATCCCAAATTACTGCTCCACGGAGGAGGTCAGATTGCAGCCTTGGTTTTCGCTGGAACTGGTGCCCAGAAGCAATGAGGATGGAATGCAGATGGGAATAATCACACATGGAGGGTTTTCAAGGCCTTCCTTCCTTAAGGAACTTGCTACAACACAGTTTTTCTGGTGACGCTCGGACCTCCCTACTCTCCACCCCCCAAAAAACACAAGCAAACGCACACACACACACCTCTGCGAGACAAATAAAATACAAGACAAAAAAAGCAGGCAGTGCTCTCCCCCAAGAAACAGACAAGTCGCTCCCACAGCAAAAGAGCCCCCAAACTAATTCTTAATTATATAATGGGGGGGGGGGCATCAAGGGATGTTCGAAGGTGCCAATGTGGGGGTCTTGAGGGCTTTGTGTTGCCCATGGGCACCACACTGGACATGCTGGGATGCTGTTACCCATATCCCACCCCCCACTCCTGAGGGGCTAAAAGCAGTGATCCATCTGGGCAGACGGGGCAGTGCCCCACCAGCTTTGACCTTCCTGCTTTCTTTCTTATAAACGGTTGGCCCTGCCTGTCAACTTCCTCTTCCTTAGCTGCCCTTGCAGAACTGAACAGGGAGGAAGAAGGGGCATAGCTGGTAGCAGTTGGCTCTGCCAACTATTGTGGTGCCCTACATTCTGCCCCACCACTCCCAGTGGGTGCCAGCCACCACTGGGTAAAAGCAGCCAGAGGGGGTACCAGGGGGTAGCTTTTAGTGGGGGGAAAGATGGCCTCATCCCTTCCTCTTTGGCCTCATCCCTTCCACAAGCTCAACTTTGGAATTGCCTAATTTGTTACCTTGCATATTTGCACTTCATTTTGCACACACAATTTATCCCTGTCACATTCCCAGTTTGCACGCACGGATCTTCTTGAATCACAGTCGCTCACACTGCTTGCAGAATGGGCGCTAGCGTCGTATTATTTACTATCCGAACTTACTAGTCACTTGCCACACGCACAAAAGGTCTCCAAGGGACTTATAAAAACATTTTAAGAGCGTAAATAAAAATAATCTGTTATAATAAAAAAAATGCAACTGTCCTTTTTCTTTTTTTAAAAGAAATCTATAGCACGAAGAAGCTTAAGCTGCAACAAAATCATCATAACCAACAAACATCCTTCCAGTCCACCAAATGCCTGGAAAAAAGAGGTCAGTTTTTCCGTACGTTTTATCCTGCGCAAAAAGCTAATGTTAATACAGTGCGCATTATGTAGTTTGGCATTGCCAGATTTACAAGTAAAGGCAAAATCTTATGTGCTGTTTGTTTCAGGTGTTGAGTGGATAGCTGAGCAGACAGCACAGGCATCAATGGGGAGAGGCAGCTGTTTCCTTCCCTCTGAGGAACTATAATCCTCAGATTCCCAGCTTTCATTAAAAAGAGAGAAAGTAACTTTCTTCCCATTTTTGTGTGAGAAACTAACTTGCTCCCCTCTTCATTCTTTGATTTTTAATTAATTAATTAATTAAATTAAATTTGTACATCACCCCTCATCTGTAGATCTCAGCATACAGTGGTACCTCTGCTTACATACTTAATTCTTTCTGGAGGTCCGTTCTTAACCTGAAACACCACTTTAGCTAATGGGGCCTCCTGCTGCTGCTGCGCCGCGGGAGCATGATTTCTGTTCTCATCCTGAAGCAAAGTTCTTAACCCGAGGTACTATTTCTGGGTTAGTGGAGTCTGTAACCTGAAGCGTCTGTAACCTGAAGCGTCTGTAACCCGAGGTACCACTGTACTTTTTCACTTTGCCCTACTCCTGGAAGGGGTGTTGAATGTGCTGCGAACTGTAGCTCTGTGTGGTCATCACCTTTTGCGAACTATAGTTTCCAGGATTCTTTTGGGGGAAGGGAAAGCCGCGACTGTTAACGTGGTATAACAGGGAAGTTGTTGGCCGGCCAGATGCTGCTGAACTACAACTCCCATCAGCCTCAGCAAGCATGGCCGATGGCCGATGGCCGGAGGGATGATGGGAGTCATAGTTCAGCAACCTCTGGTGGGCCAAAGGTTCCCCACACTTGTGATATAAGCAGGGGCCGCGTGGCCCGTTTCGCGGCTTGAGATGAAACAGGAAGTGCCACCCTGCCACTACCACCCACCTGCTCCTGCCACTGCTGCTGCTGAAATTGGCGCCAATGGCGCTGCTGCTTTACCACTGCAGGAGGAGGCGGGGCACATGCAGAGGTGCTGCCTGGGGGGCTTCTGCCGCCTGAGGCAGTGACCTCACCCTGCCTAATGGCTGGGCCGTCTCTGGGTATAAGACGACTTCAAATGGATGGTATGGATGTGAACTGAGTCTCATCATCACTCCTTCAAAGTCATGACATGGTGCCTGCCTTTTTAGATACAGGAAGCGGCAAGGCCCTTCCACACCGCATGTGTGTGAAAACAAACATGCTGTTTCTATTTTTCAGGTTAAAGCAACAAATGCCAACTCCCTCACAGAGCCCATAGATCCAATATCTTACAAATGATTATATATTAAAAAATTGGCCATGCTTCCAAAAAGCAGGAAACTCACCAGATATGCCTTTTCATTGGAACAGAAGAAGAAGAAGAGTTTGGATTTGATATCCCGCCTTTCAGTCCCTTTAAGGAGTCTCAAAGCGGCTAACATTCTCCTTTCCTTTCCTCCCCCACAACAAACACTCTGTGAGGTGAGTGGGGCTGAGAGACTTCAAAGAAGTGTGACTGGCCCAAGGTCACCCAGCAGCTGCATGTGGAGGAGCGGAGACGCGAACCCGGTTCCCCAGATTACGAGACTACCGCTCTTAACCACTACACCACACTGGCTCTCAGCACAGCACAATTCTTGAGCCATGAATAGCATTTAAACCTGCTTCTGGGCTGTTTTATTGTGCCAGGCTTAGCTACTAGCACGATAAAAGACCACCCAAGTCCTAGATCTCCTGCAGGGCTGTGACATGCTTGCCGTGCTATAACTAGCTGCCTGCAGTTTTCAGCAACTGAATCTGCTTCACTGCGTTAGGCTACAAGCACAGGGAAAGGGAGAAGCTGCAACAGTTCCCGCTTCTGCCCATCCTGCTGCCCTCGCTGAGCCTCTGAGCAAGCTATATCTGACAGCTTGAAGACACACCTACTCATTCCATCCTGAAAGAAAACCACTCACCAATACAGTGGTACCTCGGGTTACATACGCTTCAGGTTACATACGCTTCAGGTTACAGACTCTGCTAACCCAGAAATATTACCTTGGGTTACGAACTTTGCTTCAGGATGAGAACAGAAATCGGGCTCCGGCAGCGCAGCGGCAGCAGGAGGCCCCATTAGCTAAAGTGGTGCTTCGGGTTAAGAACAGTTTCAGGTTAAGAACGGACCTCCGGAATGAATTAAGTACTTAACCCGAGGTACCACTGTATGTGGTATGGCATTTTGATGTCCGTTTGGGCTTCTATCCAGGCAGAACCCAGGGCAGGTGATCAATTGTGTGTGTTTGTGGGGGTTAATCGTTTGTCACCTGCCCCCCAACTTTTCAGTGTATTTCTCCATCGCTTTCCCAACCCCCAAAGTGCCAGTGTGGTGTAGTGGTTAAGAGCGGTAGTCTCGTAATCTGGGGAACCGGGTTCGAGTCTCCACTCCTCCACATGCAGCTGCTGGGTGACCTTGGGCCAGTCACACTTCTTTGAAGTCTCTCAGCCCCGCTCACCTCACAGGGTGTTTGTTGTGGGGGAGGAAGGGAAAGGAGAATGTTACACGCTTTGAGACTCCTTAAAGGGAGTGAAAGGCGGGATATCAAATCCAAACTCTTCTTCTTCTTCTTCCCCAAAAGTCTTCCTTTTAAAGTGGGTAGGTTGTGCTTGGGCAAAATAGGTCTTCAATCCACTTTAACTGCTGAAATCTGAATTTTCGCTGTGCACCTGAATTCTTCATGACAGCCTGGCAATCACCAGAATATTCAGATGTTTCAAGAAAGAGGCATGCAGGGAAGGAAGCGGCCCCCCTGTACCGTTCCAGATGCTGTTGCACCTGGGCTCATTCATCCCAGCCCGAGGGCTTCCTTAGGCACTTGGCTGCCTTAGGCAAAGGAGGGAAGGAGCCTCACCCTCCCAGACCCAGCAAGCTCCTGTCAACTCTGATAGCATGTTTCCTGAGCTTCAAGCCCTCCTAGCTTTGCTACCCAAGTTCCAGGTAGGACCTGTCAGAAGACTGAAACTAGGTCATCTTGCATGCAGGGTTCGCTGAACCAGGGATGGCCACTTGCCCCCCTGTACAGAGGAGAGTCCTCTAAAGGAAGAGCTGTCTAGGGCACTCCTCAATTTGAAGAAGACCTCTTTTTGAAGTCCACAAAGTGCATGAGTCTGTTTCCTTACTCTTTGCACTGTCCCCAGAACAGATGTGTGTGTTCATTCCTGGCACCCAGTGAAATGTGGGCATGTTGAAGGGGACATGTTCCATGCAGGAGAGGCTGAGACAGTGCAGGTTATCTGCAGGAGCTGATAGTCTAACCTCCACATCAGTTTTGTGATAGCAAATTGGATTGGGTGCTCAGTGAATTGGTCATCCGCAAGAGCCTTCTCTCTCTGCTGGCAGGATCATACAGAGAATCCAGACTGGATCAGGCCCATGCCCAGTGCACACTGAGCTGTACAGAGGATGCTGGTCCACCCATTCAGCTCTGCACCTTTCAGTGGCTCTCTACTTGCTGGAAGGAGAGTGGTTGCCTTAAACACTCTGCTTTTGGGGTCTTCCTAGAAAAATCTGATTTATTTTCAGTATAAGCTGTCCTGGAGGTTGTTCTGGATCAAAAGGCGGAACTGAAAACAAAACAATCAACTTTTGTCAAACGTAACAGTTCTAGCAACTTCATACAGTGGTACCTCAGGTTACATACGCTTCAGGTTACATACGCTTCAGGTTACAGACTCCACTAACCCAGAAATGGTGCTTCAGGTTAAGAACTTTGCTTCAGGATGAGAACAGAAATTGTGCTCCAGCGGTGCGGCGGCAGCAGGAGGCCCCATTAGCTAAAGTGGTGCTTCAGGTTAAGAACAGTTTCAGGTTAAGAACGGACCTCCAGAACGAATTAAGTTCTTAACCCGAGGTACCACTGTATTAGCTTCAGGAGTTGCAAAAAACTGACAGGCGCCCGGGAATGGAAGATGCCAGCAACTGTTCCACACAGCTCAGTAATATATAGGGATTGGTAAATATGCAAGTTTTGGGTTCTCCGTTTCTCATTTTCCCAGTCTTCAGTTCTCTACAATTTCCACATCAGTTTGCAATTTAAGAAAAGGAAGAATCCTCATGAAAATGAAATCTGCGCTTTCCGGAAACAACTGAAGACGTTTTTGTTCCGACAGGCTGTTCCTGCTGGATAAATGGATCATTGCTACAAGTGTCCATTTGTTTGGGTTTTCAGTCTTGTTTTTCAATGTATTTGTTGCTTTTCTTTTAGAATGTTTTAAATTATACGTAAATCACCTTAAGATGGTGGTTTAGAAGGCGGTTAATAAATCAGTGGTGATGATGATGATGATAATCCATCAGCATTTCCTGTGCAAATTTCTCCTAATACACACATTTCTGAATGCAATTTTCCCTGATACAGACATTTTTGCAAAGCAAGTTCCCCTCATATAATGCATTTCTGTATGTGGTTTGTACTGATATGCCTCTTAATGTACACTTAACCCTAGTATATGCGTTTTTGCACACATAAATTGGCTGGAGAACTACATTGCAAGATCCTGAGAAGGATGAATTTTGTAGAATGGCTGTGTTTTGTTTGTGTGTATTGTTTTGGAAGGTGCTAATTAAGCAAATTCATCATTAAATGCAAACGGAATCGAATTTCTCCCTCATCCCTAGTAATTTTCCACTAGGCTCTCGCTAGGCAAAGTCTCTTTGCTTTGGATGTATTTGCAAAACCTCATTTTAAAAAAAAGGAAAACAGCAGCACCACCACACTTTGCAGCAGAAAGAGAGGGAAAGGCTAAAGGGATTTTGGTATAAAAGCGTGTTATGTAAGACTGAAGAGTCCCTGGATTTCAAATCCCGAGTCAACTATCCATCCCATTAAGGGATCTTGGGCCAGTAACTATTTCCATCTCCCAGAAGAATAAAGGAATGGAAAAGACAGATGCTAAAAAATCTTTTAGCAGACCAGTTTTGAGCAGACTGTAGCTACCATATGTAAGTAAGCTTTTAGGTTATACAGAATACTTCACTGGCATTAACAGAAACTCAGTTTAAGTCAAAACTTTGCATCCTTCTACACTGACAAATCTTTTTTCCCCCTGAACTTTCTTTAGCAAACTCTTCCCTAACTCACTCAAGCCTCACCATTTGTAGTATTATGAGAGTCTGCTCTATATCAATCATTAGCTTCTGTTCCACCCCTGATCTGTGTGCCCATTATAGAGTATAAAAAGTTGCCCAGTTATTGTAAGGTTTAAATGTGAGCTAAGAAACTCACTGATAGAGGGAAACGCCATCAACAACAATGCCCTAAATGTTTTACCAGTGATAATCAGTGCTGCTCCCACAGTTAATCAACGGAACTATTAGTTGATTAATCTACAAATACAAATTGTCTAACATTTGTAACAGCCTGCCTTTTGACTCCCTCCTCTTTTGACTTGCCATGCTTTGTCTGATTTTAAACAATATGTAAAATTTGGCAAACCTCTAACATACAACATACTTTATAGATGGTTTGTTTTTACAGATGGGGAGTTGAGGCAGAGGGGGCGAAGAAAGAAAGAGAAAGACAGAGATGCTTTTCCCCTGAGCCCAAGACAGAAAAAAATGAGACACCTTTGCAGGCAGTTCTCTTATCTACACCACTTTGCTTCCCCAGGTGTTCTAAGGTCGCTGCATTATTTTATTTTTTACTGATCCTGCTTCTTTTCTTTTAACAGCAACCTAACACAGAGAAGACCCAACAAAGGAAGCCTTTTCTTACCACTCAACGCTACAACAGGAAAGGCTGCATCTGCTTGATTTTTGCATTTCGGGCTGTGTTTAATGGCATAGCAGCTAAGCCAGAACAAAAGCAACAGTATTTGTAAATCCCACACGGTTTTCACCTCAGTGATACAGGATTGATTCTTCTGTCCGTAGTGTGTGCAGAAATTAAACCGGTGCAGCATCCCCAAGGATACAGATGCAGTGGTGAGGTTTGTCCTGTGGGATTTCTGCCTGCTGTGCTTCCTCCAAAATATTCCTAATACAAGCAGATAGGGCTGGCTCTTCTGCAAAAAACCCAACAACCCTGGCCTATACGGAATTTTTCCTAGCAGGCCACCTGAGCAAAACTATTATCTTTCAAAAGGAATTTGCTTTGAAACTTACCTTGCAGCAGCAACAGCAACAGGCCCAGGAGGAATTTGGTTGCGTGCTCCATGTCTCCTGCTTGCTCTCCCTTTCTTTCTCTCTCCCTCCTTCCCTGCCCAAAAGACAACCTCTTTCAGTTTGCTCTTCCCTGCTCTCCTTACTTGCTTGAAAACATGATCTCATCAGTTTACAGCCCAGCGAACATGGGCATGCAGCGGTCCTGCCCCCACCTACAGGTTTTTCACTTCTTGCCTTCTTTCACCATTCCCCCCTCCTCTGTTCTCCCCAACACTTCGCTGCTCAGCTTCAACTTCTACATAACACACGGGCTCTCTGAACAACGCTTCCCCCTGCAAGGAGCTCCCAAGCCCCTTTTGATGTTAGCAGAGCGAGTTTTTGCTGGCCCCAGAGTTCCAAAAACAACCTCCCACCCCACCCACCTCCCTCCTGGGTATGGGATTAATTTTCTCGGGCATTTACAAAATCCAGCTGTTCTTTCCTCGCCTTGACATTCTGCCAGATGTCTGCCTGGGTTCTGTTCCTGTTTGCTTTTCTGTGTTCCCCTCTCCTTGCCTTCTGCGGTTCTTTCCTTTCGCTATTACAAGATCGCTGGGAAAACACACACTTTTGCCGCCCTAACAAGGCCCTACTGCAGCCAGGGTAGCCACCGCAGTGACCTTCATATGTTTTGAACTACAACTCCCAGGAACACCATTTGGCACAGCCAACAGTCAGGGGTGCTGGGAGCTGTACAGTGGCACCTGGGGGTTAAGAAGGGTTGTTCCAGAGGTCCATTCTTAACCTGAAACTGTTCTTAACCTGAAGCACAACTTTAGCTAATGGGGCCTCCCGCTGCTGCTGCTGCGCCACCACCGCACGATTTCTGTTCTCATCCTGAAGCAAAGTTCTTAACCCGAGGTACTATTTCTGGGTTAGCAGAGTCTGTAACCTGAAGCCCGAGGTAACCCGAGGTACCATTGTAGTCCAAAACATCTGGAGGGTGCCACATCTGCTATTCTGGCCCCAGGCATTCGTGAAATAACAGTGCCCCTTCACTCTAATATTGTTTGACACACACACACAACCGACTTTTACAGCTGGCCAGACCCCTCCACAGACCCCAGTTCCTTGTGATATGAGAGTGGTGGAGAGACTGAGGATGGTTTTGTTAATATTGGTGTGTTTCGAAATGAACATTGATAGGGGGCAAGCGAGCGCCTATGTAATGGAATCCTAAACCTGATGCCTCTTTTCACTGTACAGTGGTACCTCAGGTTAAGTACTTAATTTGTTCTGGAGGTCCGTACTTAACCTGAAACTGTTCTTAACCTGAAGCACCACTTTAGCTAATGGGGCCTCCTGTTGCTGCCGCGCCGCCGGAGCACGATTTCTGTTCTCATCCTGAAGCAAAGTTCTTAACCTGAAGGACTATTTCTGGGTTAGTGGAGTCTGTAACCTGAAGTGTATGTAACCTGAAGCGTATGTAACCTGAAGTGTACGTAATCCGAGGTACCACTGTATCTGCCAGGGACCTCCATTACAGCAGAACAACAGAGGGCCTGTCCACACCTAGGCTTAATGTGGATTGTAAACCCGTTGTGTGTCCTTTAATTCCCCCTCGTCCATGTGGCATTTTCCTCCAGTTACTGCTATCCCACACTTTCCTCTTCCTAAATCCGCAGATTCCATATGCAGTTGACGTTGTTCTCCCATTTGGGTTTTCAAAGCATAGGCTATCTCTTCCTTCAAGGAGGAAAAACTGTGGGACAGTAGCAGTTGGAGGAAAACAAGGGGGAATCAAAGGGGTCAACGGTCCACGGTCCACATTAAGCTGAGTTACAGACAGGCCCAAATTGCATTGTCACAGCCTTAAAAGCAGTATCAGTTCTTGTTCCCCTGCTCTGCCTCAGAAGAGTAAACAGCATGCCTTCCCCTCCCTTGAAAAGCTTCTTCTCGGCCACCAACTGCAAGCTCAGACTTCTGTCTCATTTCCTTGTTACGTTCCAGATGTCAATACAGTTTTCTTACGAATCCCGCACCAAGGAAGCTGCTAGTAGCCACCAGCCATTAAAAGCAACAGCCTTCTGCATGGTCGTTAAACCATTCTCATTTCACATAAATTGCTTAGAAGGTACCTATGCATTTTGCTCCACAGCTTTCTTTCCAAGAGGAATAAAGACTTAGGACTCAGCTGGATTGGTAAAGAAAAAGCTTTTTATATGCATTGTATATGCATTATAACACTGTGACACCAGATGGCGCTGTGGAGTTCCATTTTCCCCAATGTGATTCTCATACAACGTTTACAACGCGTTTTCCTGAAACGCTTCTCTTGAGATGTCTAGATCCAGCCTTACTCTTATTCTTTTAATGAAGGAGAAGACTATCAATGGCTCTTTTTCTTCATGCAGGAGAAGGCTATCAATGGCTACTAGCCATGATGGCTATGCTTTACCTTCAGATAGAGGCAGCACACATGTGAATATCTCAGAAAGCAAGAGTGCTCATCTGCTCAGATCCTGCTTGTGGGTTTCTCATAGGCACCTGGTTTGCCACTGTGGCAACAGGATGCTGGACCAGATTGGCCTATCTAGCAACCAGGCTCTCCCTATATTCTTCCTTGACTTGTATTTGAGTTGATTTTATGCGTGGGCTGTCGATGTTTTAAACTGTTTCTATACAGTGGTACCTCGGGTTACATACGCTTCACGTTACATACGCTTCAGGTTACAGACTCCGCTAACCCAGAAATAGTACCTCGGGTTAAGAACTTTGCTTCAGGATGAGAACAGAAATTGTGCTCCGGCGGCGTGGCGGCAGCGGAAGGCCCCATTAGCTAAAGTGGTGCTTCAGGTTAAGAACAGTTTCAGGTTAAGAACGGACCTCTGGAACGAATTAAGTACTTAACCTGAGGTACCACTGTATTTACAACCTGCTTTTTAAATATTATTATTATTATTATTATTGATTCAATTGTTTTAACTGTTTTTTATACCTGTAGCTGCTTTATATATGTTATTATATTGAAACTCACACTTCTTCATGTGCTGCAATTCATAAACGGTACCAATAATTAGGTTATTTTTTGGGGGGGTCTTGTTGACTTGCGATAGGTCCTTTTTCTAAGCGAAGCCATAAAACAGAGGTTGTAGCCAAAGTTAGTCATCACCAACATCACCACCACCATTATTATTATATTTATACCCCGCCCATCTGGCTGGGTTTCGTCAGACATTAGGAACTTCCCAATACAGGGCTGCCTTCTTAGACTAGACTCATTCAAATTAGTAGGGTAACCTAGGTCCATTAACTTCAATAGGCCTATTTTGAGTGTGATTTAGTAGGACGCAGCTCTAGGTTTCTACTGCACATGCCAGCTGGGTCTGAGCAACAACAGATGAAGGCGACTAGTGGGAAGTTTGATTCTGTCTCCCAGCATCTGGTTCTCAGGAATTGGATCCAGGCCAGAATGTTTTTTGGAGTGGGGAAGAGGAGAGGAACTGTATCTGCAAACTCTTGGCCATGTTGCATACTCGTTGCATACTCTCCTGTTCAGGGAAGTTCTCGTTAAAAAAAAAAAAGATTTGCTAATCTAGTGTAAACGATTCCATGTGAAAGGGTCCCTTCTCCAGGAGCAAGCATTTCTCTACTAACTCTTTGCATGATCACCAAGAGACGGCAGAGGAGGTATAGGAAACATAGGATGACTTGAGCGCTCCTGGTTTCCAGAAGGCTGGCTGGGTAATTCTCCCTGGAGGAGAATGAAAGGCAGAAAGGCGGAAGTAACACCAGGCTAAGCTCTGGAATCTATAAGCACTGCTGGCTACATTGCAGGCTGAAGGGGCCCTTGCTTTGCTTCACTGCTGCTGCTGTAGGTTTTCATGCTGTTCTTGGTCAGCAAGGCCATTCGGGATGTATGTCAGAGCAGAGGCCCTGGGATCATGTTTGGGGAGGGTGCAAGACAGACACGCTGCAAGGTCTGAAAGGCGGAGCAGGCCTGTCTTTCCATGCATTCAAGAGGAAAATGCAAAAAGACAAAACAGGGTGTGTTAAAACATTTGGCTGCGTAGCCAACTAGGTTTTACTCAAGAGTAGACCCACTGAAATTAATGGACTTAAGTGGGCCATGGCTAGCATTGAGTGCAACTCGTTTGTGAAAATATTTACTTGATACTGACACAGTGTTTTGCAAAATACAGAGTGCAGTGTGGTGGGTAAAATGCTGAACAAGGGCTAGATCTAGACACATCAAAAAAAGCGTTGTAAACTTCATAATGGGAAATCACGTTGGTGAAAGACGGCACTCCACAGCGCCATCTGGTGTCACAGTGTTATAACGCATATAAAATGCTTTTTCTTTACTAATGTAGCTGAGCCCAAGGGCGAAGGCTTTCTCAGTTCCAGAGCCGCAAATCCTTCTGTGCAACTTTCTGGGAGCTACATGCCAATGAAAGGTGGGACCAGGGACAATTTTTAGCTTTGTGTGGTAGACTAGTTTCTACACCCAGACACCTTCATCCTCCATCTAGGGCAAACAAGGGGCATTACAGTGGTGCCTCGCAAGACGAAAAACTCTCAAGACGAAAGAGTTTTTCGTTTTTTGAGTTGCTTCGCAAGACGAATTTCCCTATGGGCTTGCTTCGCAAGACGAAAAACGAAAACGTCTTGCAAGTTTGTTTCCTTTTTCTTAAAACCGTTAATACCCAGGGTGACTTCGAGGAGCAACTCATAGCACGCGGTGTGGTAGCCTTTTTTGAGGTTTTTGAAGACTTTGGTGATTTTGAAGACTTTGGGAAACCGTGCTTCGCAAGACGAAAAATTCGCAAGACGAAAAAACTCGCAGAACGAATTAATTTCGTCTTGCGAGGCACCACTGTATCAGAGTTCAAGGACACATTCCAGTCCTGCAAAAACATGCAACTGCTTTTGTGTTTAAAACAGTTTCTCCAACCTGAGTCACCATTTTGCTCCTGACCCTGGCTGCTGAATCTTGGGAGTTTTACTGTAGGTCCGTCAGTGAATTCCATCAGAAATGGAAACGGGAGGGGAAATTGCTGCCATTGGCATGTCCATCCAAGGCCAGGAAAAGAAGCCACACAAGCGAACCCATGTGGTATTCACTATTGTTCTCTTCTTTGTCTGTGAACGAGCACAGAAATAATGGCATTACTTTCCGCATGGTTTTTGACATTTTCCTTCCATTGAAATTCACAGAAATCGATTACATTATTAACTACATTAGTGTTGGCCATAGCAGATAGCAAGATGTAGGTTTAAGTGGAAGACAAACTGTAGCTAATTGGGACGATCAGGAGGACAGGAATCGCTGCCTCCTTACAGTCCTGAGTTTTAGCAAGCAGTTGATCCAACTAGCAAAAAGCCTGCCCATATTTCATACAGATGATTCTGGGAGATGAGATGGAAACAGTGGTGTGGTGGTCTGGGAACATGGGGGGCATAAGACTCATTGCTATTTCTGCAGTAGGGTCCCTCTCTCCAGCATCCTAGAGTCACCCAATCAGCATAATAGGTGCACTTTTTAGCTACTACCATATGCTCCAAAGCACAGCATTTAGGAACACCGAAAACACAAGGGGCTTCAGTTTCAAGTGACCGGGATACAAGTTCTGCGACATACAATTGAGCTTCAGAGAAAACACAACCTGAGTCGCTCCGAAAGAAGGTATTGCAGCCCTCCAAATCATGTACGTGCCCATGTACTTGCACAGAAAATAGCAGATCTAGCTGAATGGCAGCATGTGAGATCTGCACTGATGGTTGCAATGCACTCCTAATTATTATTATTGCATAATTGTAAAATTATAAGATTACTGTATAATCTTAGAAGGGGGTGGCTATGAGGGGTCAATAGTGTGAGCATCATGAAGGGATGCTGCACTTCTGAATTTGCCACAACACTACTGGATGGAAGCAACGCAGAGCACAGTTATGCTCTGTCCACACACATTATTTCACATGCATTAGATATAAGGCCATCCCAAGACATTTGGCTGCCTGAGGCAGAACAAGAAAAGGACACCCCTTCACTCAAAGAGCTGCATAGCAGCCAAGGCTGACCAAGGAATTTTGGCACTTGCCGCAGAAAAATCCCATAAGCATCTCTTCCCATAAGTAAAAATATTGTAATAAGAAGTTTTTAAAGCACCAGTCTTCTGCTCTTTCATGACACCCATAATCAACTGTCCTGTCTCACTCTGCCCTATGGTTGAGCCAGCCCTGTTCTAAGCCAATGTGGTGTAATGATTAGAGTGTTGGACTATTACCTGGGAGACCAGGGTTCGAATCCTCACTCAGCCATGAAGCTCACTGGTGACCTTGGGCCAGTCATTGCCACTCAGCCTAACCTACCTCACAAGGTCGTTGTAAGGATGAAATGGGGAAGAGGAGAACCAATTATACCACCTTGAGCTCCTTGGAAGATAATGGTAGTATATAAATGAAGTAAATAAATAAATAAATAAATAAACAAACACCCCAACTCAAAGAGTTAACTTCTAGAATGCCAACATTTCTAGAAAAGGCAAAACAAGGCTGTACAATGAAAGCTGAGAATCTTGCTCCCTCCCCTAGAATCTTGGGAACTGTAGTTTACCCAGAGCTACAGCTCCCAGCGTTCATAACAAACTACAGTTCCCAGGATTATTTGGGTGAAGTCCTGCGCTCTCAAGGCCCAAAACAGAGGGAGTCCTTCATCAGATATCAGACCATAGGGACAGTCAGAGCAAATCTTAGGACTGCTTGCTGGTGTCACACGCCATCAAGCAACATCTTAAATTGAATCCAACTAGCAGGGCTGAAAATCCAGAAAACTGGGGGGGGCCTGGTTCCTTGAGCGGCAAAGGCAAAATGACATGTAGCCACAATTACAGGCCTGCAAGTTGCAACCCTCTATTATTCCCATGACTTCACCAGGCCTGGAATCCCTGATGGACACCGTGTTACAGAGTACTTTCTGTGTTCTAATTACCATCTACTACAGCCCCTGATTAGCCCCGCACAAATGAGCGCCCCATCCACATGGAAGCCTCCCCGTGGCAGAACCAACAATGCAGATGTAAGTATGCCTACTCAGAAGACAGAGCCATAGACTTTGGCTAGTGGAGCCATATTTATACCTAAGTACATAGCAAGGAAGGGGAATGGAGATGTGGCCCTCCGGGCCTCTTCATCTGGCCCTCAGATCTCCCCCCCAGGACATACAACACCCTTCACCAGCCCCAGCTTCACATCCTCCTGGAGTGTTATTGCAGAATGTGTCCTTGAACTCTGATAACGCTTCCTACTTACTTGGCTGGAGGACAGAGGGGGTGTCAGAGTGTGTGCAGAAACTAACCTACTGAAGAAGGGTAAATTTTGCCTTCTATGCTCTTGTCTCCGGCCCCAGTACATTTCCCCATGACTTTCACAACAGCATAAAGTCCTTTAAAAAAAATAAAAAGGGGAATTGTTGTGCTGGGGCAGGAAGTAAGTCACTTTAATCTACTTTAACCGTGCAAACCTAAAGTTCTGGCATACTCTTGAATCCCTCCTGGCACAAAATACTGGCACAGTCCGGAGATCTTGCAGCACTGAATGCTGCTTAATTATCCCCCATCAATTGATTCCACACTCCAGATAGTCATTTTCATTTATACACCTTGGGATGGAACAGCACACTCAAAATTCACTCTTCTCCCCCTTTTGGCAAGCGTCCTCTTTATGAATTCCTGGAATTCATAACAAAACCATTAATAGGAACCAGTTAGAAAAACAGAAGACTTGCCCAGGAAAGCAATTTTTAAAACACTTCTAAAAGAAAGGCGTTATATCCAGACATTAACTTAGGAAATTGTCTCTCCCCTTCCCCACACACACTTGTGTGGGTGCATAAAATTAAAAAGATATAAAGAAAAATGCCTGGTTGGTGACTTGCTATAAAAACCTATACTGTTATATAACCTTTTCAAAAACAGCTGGGAGGAAAGAGAGTTACAGCAGGGGAGTTTGGTATTTGCTTTACTATATTTCGGTTGCATACCATTTGCAAGAAATGTTATTTAATTTAAGGCCAAGGGCCCATCCATACCTCTCTATAATGTGAACCCTTTGGGCTTTGTGCTTTGAGAATCCGAATATGAGAGCTACATCAGTGGCATTGGGGATCTCTGCTTTTAGGAGGAGAAAGTGTGGGAGAGCAGGAGTTTCAAGGAGAATGCTGCACGGACAAGGTTCACAATCCACATTAAACCAAAGTATGGTCTCTCTCTCTCTCTCTCTCTCTCTCTCACTCACACACACACACACACACACACACACCAGCTACCACTGCCAAAGGACATTTGTTTTTATGAGTAGAAGGAACACCCCTTATTAGACAAATATTTCATCCTCAAATAGGAGGGTGATTACTAGCTCCATAGTTAGAGGCAGTAATGCTTCTCCATAAGGTAAAGGACCCATGGGTGGTTACGGTAAGTCCAGTCAAAGGCATCTATGGGGTTGCGGCGCTCATCTCACTTTCAGGCCAAGGGAGCTGGCATTTGTCCACAGACAATGTTCCAGGTCATGTGGCCAGCATGACTAAACCGCTTCTGGCGCAATGGAACACTGTGACGGAAGCCACAGCACATGGAAACACTGTTTACCTTCCTGCTGCAGGGGTACCTATTGATCTACTTGCACTGGCATGCTTTCGAGCTGCTAGGTTGGCAGGAGCTGGGACAGAGCAACAGGAGCTCACCCCATCACGAGGATTCGAACTGTCGACCTTCTGTTCGGCAAGCCACAGACCACAGTGCCTCCATAACAGTTGCTGGAAACCATAGGAGGGTTTCTTGTGCTCAGGTCCTGCTTGGCTGCTGTGAGAAAAGGATGATGGGCTAGATGGACCGTCTAAGCTCCATGTGTTCTTTGTACAAGGAACCTGTTACCCAGTAACAAACCCAGGAGGAATGCTTAATAAACAGGTTGCCCGAAGGAGCCTAAAGTGGTAATTGTTGAGAGAAGCTACAGCTCAATAGAAGAGAAATCATAGAGTTGGAAGGGACCACAAGGGTCATTTGGTCTAACCTACTGCACTGCAGGAATATTTTGCCCAATGTGGGGCTCGAACCCACAACCCTGAGATTAAGAGTCTCATGCTCTACTGACTGAGCTATCTTCGTGCTTCTTCTTCTTGTTGTTGTTTAGTCGTTTAGTCGTCTCTGACTCTTCGTGACCCCATGGACCAGAGCACGCCAGGCACTCTTGTCTTCCACTGCCTCCCGCAGTTTGGTCAAACTCATGCTGGTAGCTTCGAGAACACTATCCAACCATCTTGTCCTCTGTCGTCCCCTTCTCCTTGTGCCCTCCATCTTTCCCAACATCAGGGTCTTTTCCAGGGAGTCTTCTCTTCTCATAAGTATTGGAGCATCAGCTTCAGGATCTGTCCTTCCAGTGAGTACTCAGGGCTGATTTCCTTAAGAATGGATAGATTTGATCTTCTTGCAGTCCATGGGACTCTCAAGAGTCTCCTCCAGCACCATAATTCAAAAACATCAATTCTTCGGCGATCAGCCTTCTTGATGGTCCAGCTCTCACTTCCATACATCACTACTGGGAAAACCATAGCTTTAACTATATGGACCTTTGTTGGCAAGGTGATGTCTCTGCTTTTTAAGATGCTGTCGTGCTTCTTAAGAGCATCTATTTCACATGTTATTTCCAGGTGAGGCTGGGCAGCAACCCTGTCTGAAACCCTGGAGAGTCACTGCCAGTCAGTGCAGACAGTGCTGAATGGTTTGATTTGGTAGAAGGCAGCTTCCTATGTTCCTATCCTTAACGATTCTGCAGAGAAACGTTCCTCCAACTCCTCCGTTCTGGATGGATCTCAGACAGAGGACTGGGAGGAAATAACAAAGAGATCAAATCAGCACCAAGAGTCCTTGCCCAGTCTACTCGCTCTCCGAAACTCAGTACAAAAAGCCAGAAAGTGACATTCCTTGCTCTGTTACTCATCTGTGCTGGTCAGCGATAGAGACAATCTCCCAGAAGAGCCAGGCAAATGAGAAAACTGTGTTTAAAACAGAGGGTAGGGAACTATTTTTCGGTCCAAAGACCACATTCCGTTCTGGACAATGTCCCAGGGGCCACATCCCAGTGTTGGGTGGGGCCAGAGGCAAAGGTGGATGTAGTGTTCAGGCTGCTGGGAAATTGTAGCTCTGTGAAGGGTAAACTATGGTTCCCAGGATTCTGGGATGTTTGCTTTAAATGTATGGTGTGTACACAGATGAAGATAGCCTTGTGGCAGGGTGGGAAGATGCGACTTTGCTAACCTAAGGCCCTCACACTTTGAACTGCGCCTTCCCCACCCACTCCACCCACAAACCACACCAGGGTTGCTGCAACCTTTTGAAGGAGGGCATTTATTCCCTCCCATAATTGTACCCCACCTTCCAAACCCGCCCATAATCATGGCCCAACTGAGTCCCAGAAATGCAGGAGGACAGAAAAACTCTACAGGGAGCAAGAGGGCCTGTATTATTTGTCCTGATCGCGGCACACCAAAATTGTTTCTTAACACTTGCCTGGAATTTCCAAGCCGCTTCAGGCTTTATAAAAAGAGGAGCTTTTTTAGGTTAAGAAAAAGGCTGTGCAAAGTATGCTTTGGTTGGTAGAAGACCATCCCACTGCCAAATTTAGATGCATGGAGAAAGAGAATGGCCAGTTTCTCACATCTGGAGTTGCTGAGCTAAAGGAGAATGATAACAAGGAGAAATCTGAATTACTACACAGTGATCACATCCACACCAAGCATCTGAAGCCCTCTTATACCACTCACAATCATGGCTTCCCTCAAAGAACCCTAGTTTGTTAAGGGCTGTTGGAAGACCTCTCGCAGACCCATAGTTTTCCCATCATCTTTAACAAACAACAGCTCCCAGGATTCTCCAAGACCTCAAAAGTGGCACAAGAGTGCTTCAACCGTGTGGCGTGAATGTGAGCAATGCACCCTAATTGAAATTAACCTTGAAGATAAATCTCCTTCCTTCCTCATAATATTAGAAGTCGGGGCCATCCAGTTAAGCTGAAGGTTGGAAGATTCAGGAAAGACGAAATACCCCTATCTACCCTCCATCCAGAAAAGTGAGAGGCATTACTGGAGTTCGAGGACACCTCTCGCCTAGGCAAAAATCACTCAAGTAGGCTGTGAAGCCGGGCCAGTGAGGGCTGTGGCCTGGAAAGCGTTCCAAGGGCTATATAAAGAGCCCTGGAGGGCCACACATTTCACTGGCCCTACGTCACACCCATAATTTATTTGTCTGGCTGGAATCGGTCCTCCAACTGTAATAATGCTTCTTGCTGGTCTGGATGGAAGATTAAGAGGGGTGTGTGAGTGTGTGTGCAGAAACTAGCCTACTATGCAAAGGGGAAATTCACAACCATTGCCCTGTGCCCACCACTGGCATGTGGCCCTCAGAAGGTGGTCCAGAAGAGAATTCAGCCCTTGGGCTGAGAAAGGTTCCTGACCTCCGCTTCAAAGCCAAATCTGTTGGACGGCGACAAGAGGCACTATTTGCTTCTCTGCCTCAGACAGCAAAATGTCTCCAGCCGGCTTAGGGTAGCCTTGCTGGGGTGACCTCACACGGGCTGGAAGGGAAATGGATTTGACTCAGAGTTACTCAAGGAGCTGATCATTCTTGGATGCGAGAAGCCCAGTCACCACATCTATATATTTTCAGGGTGTCCTCACTTTTTGATTACGCTCCAGCCCAACCCAAACGCACTCACATCATCATCCATGACTTTCCCTCTTTAGTCAGACTCTTCCCCAGCTGCAAAAGCTTAGCCCTCTGTCCCACTCACATTGCAACCTCTTGGTGAGAACTTTAAGCAGTTTTTCCCCCATGGAATGGGCTGGACACACATGTTCCTGAGAAAATAGACAGTTACAAGCTGTGAGGAATTGCCTCACCGGTGGAGTCAGGTAATATTAGGCTTTGGACTTTAGCCACCGTACAGGCCCCATCACCCCACTTTCGGTGGTAATATTAATTCCCTCAGTATGGCTGCACTGGGAAAGTGCCATAAGCTCAGTGGTACAGCATCTGTCTGGCACAGAGAATGTCTAAGGTTCAATCCCCTGTCTGATATCCTGGAGAGTCACTGTCAGTCACGGCTTCATCCCTATATACCTTTAGGAGCGTGTCCATGCCCATCGTTCAGCCTGGACACTGATGATATTGTTTTAGCAATATCATCTCTTACGCCCAGTTCTAGTTCCTGGTAACCCTGAAATCATTGGTCAGTATAATGTGTTTAGCTGTGCTAAGTTGTAGTAGTACTAATACCATATTATTGCTGCTGCTGCTGCTACAATAGCATTAATAATATTAATTTTCATCATGGCTCCAACAATGGATGGTTCAAATTCAAGAACAGCCTAGCTGCCCCACTGTTCAGAGAGCTAAAAGGTAAAAAGCCAGCATTGGGTTGGCTTTATTTTAATTTAACCGTACAAAAGAACGGTAAAAACAGTTCTTTTAGCTCACAACTGTAAAGGCCCCTTTTGTTCCCGTTAATAGAACATAGGGCATCTGGGGCTCCTGGGGCGCTCCAGACGAAAAAGCCGGCTGATCCGCAGCAGGAGAGCAAACCTGTCTGCTTCCTTTTTGAAAGGCTGCTTTGTATGCCAGGTGCTTGTAAAAAGTGGGGGAGTGAAACAGCAAGGAAAACTGGCATGCAAAAGCAGGTGAGGCAAGGGGTGGTAGGAAAAGCCTCTTGCTACACGTCAGTTTTTCCACAGTTGTCCCTGGATCACAGTTGCCGATTTGCCCAAGTGCAGGGCTGAGGGTCCTGTGGGCCTCCAGGTGCTGATGTCCCATCAGAGCCAGCCAGTGTGGCCCATGGTCAGGAATTCTGGGAGTTGTAGTTGAAGCATGTTTCTAGACTGCAGCTCCCATCAGTCCCAGCCAGGGATGGTGAGAGTTGTAATTTCATCATGTTGTTGGATTCTGGCTCCCGTCATGATACAGTGAGCAAGCCCCATGGGTCAGAAATAATGGGAAATATAGTTTAGCCATGTTATTAAGATTCCAAATCCCATCAGCCCCAGCCAGCATGGCCAATGGTCAGAAATAATGGGAGATTCAGGTCAACAGCATCTGCAGAGCCACAGGTTCCATATGTTTGCCTTAGTCCATGGCAGGAAGGTTTGTTTGCTTGCTTGCTTGCTTGCTTGCTTTGGCTAAAGCTTCCCAGCCCTGTAAAAATGCCAAGACAAAGAGAAAGGGCTTCTGGGCCATCTCCTCCCCAGTGAAAAGAGCACCAAGGCATTTTCACAACTCTCCTCTTGAGCACTTGCTGTTTTGGACTACATCTCCCATTTGCCCGAATCAGCACAGCCATATAATGGAAGTTGCACGTAACCCGGTGTGCTTCAGGTGTTCTGGATTACAATTCCCATTAAGGTCCCTTTTACTCATGGGTTGGCAAACTAAGGCACGGGAGCCGGATCCAGCCCAATCGCCTTCTAAATCCGGCCCACAGACGATCTGGGAATCAGGGTTTTTACAGGAGTAGAATGTGTCCTATTATTTAAAATGCGTCTCTGGGTTATTTGTGGGGCGTAGGAATTCGTTCATTCCGCCCCCCAATAGTCTGGCCCCCCCACAAGGTCTGAGGGACAGTGGACCAGCCCCCTGCTGAAAAAGTTTGCTGACCCCTGCTTTTACTGGTCAACTCCAGCATTGAGAGATGTTCTCAATTCTTGCTTGGGATTCTCATGCCAGGTAACAGAGAAGGAAGGAAGCTCTCAGTGTACCCCATAAAACCTTCCTATGATTGCTTTGCATACACACTCCCTCCTATGCAGACACTTGTGCATGATTCAACATTTGTGCTGGCAAGCCTTCACCACCCTGGTGCCCTCCATCTAGCTCAGTATTGTCTACAATGTAGACAATAAAGGTGCATGCTGCACAAATGCTTACTGGGTGGAGCTACACACAGGGGGGGGGGAAATGATATAAATAAGTCAGAAATTAATCGTTATAACAAAAGGGGGGGAACCCCTTTGGAAATTCGGGTAGAAAAACTTTCTGCTCTCTGGCGCCATCTGGTGTTGCATGTTTATAATACATTCAAGTTGTTTCTTTACTAATGTAGCTGAGTTCCAAGTCATAGAACTGCCCCATGAACCAATCAGAACTAATGCTCAATAAAGACTAAACTATGGGTGCTTCCAGAAGACCTATTTCGAGCATTCATCCTGACCCTTAGGGTCCCTTCCAACTCTGTAATTTTTTTATTCTATTATTTGGAGATTAAACAACTCTCTACCATGCATTTTCTCAGCACTTTCCTTATCACAAAAAATTCAGTCTTTGGGAGAAGCAGGTTTGTTAACCAATAGCCAGAAATAGATAGCAGGAATGTTTACATATAGAGAGAAAAAATCCAAACAATTTTACTCTTTTCCCCTTATCACTACTTTGACAATGCTTCAATTTTACTACACTATTTATTTATTTTTATTTATTAAATTAAACACTGCCCTTCATCACAAGATCTTAGGGCGCTTCACTAGGCTTCTTATATACAAAGTAGACTTTTAGAAAGGAAATTCTGGGTTGATTTACCACACCACCTTAACCTATCCTTCTGGTTTCATGGTTGTTCTTCTCCAGACCCAAGGCCCCGTACATTCATCATTCATTTATTTTATTTTTCATTTTTGGCAAAAAAAAACAACCTCAAACACTGCACATCCTCCAACATGATGCGTTGAAAAACCAAGACTCCACCTTCCAGGGCTGCATTTCCACGTGACTCATGTGATCCACAGATCATGGCCTTGAAAAAGTGCTTTTTCAGGCACAGCGCCCAAAAAACATGTGTTTTGGGGTGCCTTGCGAGATTGCGGCCAGATAATGGCGCCTAAAATGGCTGTTGTGCGCTCGTGTGAAAAAAGGGATGTCCCGGTTTTATTGGGATGGTTGAGAGGCATGCACTGTTCTAGGCTTGTTGCCAGTCTTTATCATCTTCATATTCTGCAACTATTCAAAGCACATTTGTTCAGCTTTCTCATGACAACACTACAGCAAATATTTTTAACCCCTCTCTTCAGCCTCATCAAATGAAAAACGGCAGGCTTCAACCATCTGTACACCATTTCCACATCATAAATATTATGTGCCTGAATTTGCCAGTATGCAACTGAATCACATCAGAAATTAGCAAGAGCCTTGAAGGGCTTATAGTCTAGCCTACAAAGCAAATCATGATAAATGCTCAATAAACCTGCTGTCTAGAGGATCTCTTCGAAGGCAACTTCCAGATTATCCACTGTTGGGTTCCTTGGACTTTGGCTCCCTCTGCTGCTCATCCTAAGCCCTTCCTTATATCGCTTGCGAGGCTGGCTAGTAGTCAGGGATGTGGGGAATTATAGTCCAGCAGCATCTGGGAGGTCAGGTGCCTTTGATCTGAGCAATTATTTATTTCATTTTATTTCTAAAAATGTGCATACTGCTGTATGATTAAAAAAAAAATGTTACATTGGTTGGCAACAACAGAAAAAACACAAAACCAGACAACAAAACCATAAAACGTTAAAAGCAAAACGAATGCATGGATTTTCTCCCCACTCAGCCTCACCACCCCAGTTTGCAAACAACCATGTGAAGTCCTAAAAGACCTATATTGGCTCCCAGTACATTTCTGAGCACAATTCAAAGTGTAGGTGCTGACCTTTGAAGCCCTAAACGGCTTTGGCCTAGTATACCTGAAGGAGCGTCTCCACCCCTACTATTCAGCAGCTTGCGGATCTAACGTACAGAATAAGAGAACAAGAACAACATTCATTTAAAGACGATTGAATATATGGGGGGAAATTGTGTACACTTTGTTGTGTATTGAGTCAAAGGATTTTATATCTGTATTATTATTGTCTGTATTTGCATTAGGGTAAAGTAACTGCCTTTTGGTTCCAGAGGGTACAGCTACTATTGGTTCATTTAAGCTGCTGTATTTGGATCCTCTGTCTTATTGGTTCCCTCCAAAGGGCAGGACTGTGATTGCCTGATATTGTTCCCTCCAAAATGTATCCTTTCTTGCTAGTCCCCTGTCCCTATAAATGTAGCTTTCTCTCCCAGTCTTCAGTCTTGTTGCTTTAATAAAGAAGTGTTACTAGAGAACTGTCTCCAGCATGTTATATCAGGAGAGCTGAAATCACAAACCCCACGTCACAACAACTGGCGACGAAGGTGGGATCCGGAATGCTGAGGAGCGGTTAAACGCAGCCCTGCCTCAGAGTCCGGATTGCAGCTAAGAACAAGACTCACTGACCAGCTGAGAAGACGACCCTGCCACAGGACAATGGAGAGTCCAAGGGTATTGGAGCCCTTCCAGCCATCAGAGCCCGACACGTGGGAAGACTACGTCGAACGCTTCGAGTTCTTCGCAGAGGCTCAAGGGATCACCGATGCCAGCAAAAGAAGGGCCACATTCCTGAGCTACTGTGGGCCTGAGACCTTCAAGCTGGCCAAGGCATTGCTTGCTCCAGCGAAGCTAAGTGAGACATCTCTCAAAGATATTCTTGCCTGCCTAACAAGCCACTTGGCGCCTACTGACACCAAGATGGCTCGGCGGATGGAGTTTCATAAGAGGCAGCAGCATGCTGGGGAGTCTGTATCTGCATTTCTGGCTGAACTGCGGAAGCTCGCTCAGCACTGCGACTTCCAAAATCTGGAAGAGACTCTCCTGGACCGGTTTATCGGTGGTCTGAGCAGCAAGAAGGCCAGAAGACGCATCGTGGCTAAAGAAGAGGTTACCCTTGCTTCAGCCTTGAAGGAGGCCACCGCCACAGAGAATTATGAAAGAGAGGAGCTTGATGCCAGTCGCAAGGCCCCTAAGCCACAGATAGAAGTTGCGCATGCCATGGACGAGCTAGAGGCTACTCCGAGCCAGAGCCCAGTCCGTGGGGTCGAGTCAGTGAGTCAGGCCTGCACAGTGCACAAAGATCACTGAGGCAGGTGCCCAGGTTGTGGCGGAAACCATGAGCGGAAGAGTTGTCGTTTCCGGGATGCTATGTGCCGGACGTGCGGGAAGACAGGTCACATCGCCAGAGTCTGTAGATTGGCGGCGTTGGGAGCGACAGGAGCACCTAGACCGGAGCATCGCAGACCGCCCGCAGCAACCCATTTTCTAAAGGACTGCCACTACGTTACAGAGATCAACGGGAGGGTCGTGCAGTTCCCAGCACAAGGCAAGGCACACGTCAAGGTGAAGATTGAGGGTCAGCAGTGCGACATGGAGGTGGACTCCGGATCTGGATTCACTATCGTGTCGGACCAGACCGCGAGGACATTCTTCCCCAGGGGTAAGTTGCCCCCTCTGGAACCCTTCCCGGCAACCTTGCAGTCATACTCAGCGGGCCGCATCCATGTTATGGGAATGTGTGCCGTGAGAGTACAGTTCCGGGACAAACAGGCTGTACTCAAACTGGTGATTGCGAAGGGCAGTTGCCCCAGTCTCCTGGGCACTGACTGGTTCCCCGCCCTGGGACTGAGTATATCAGGGCTTAATTCAATCCAAAGCTGCCCTGAGATGAGCGAGGCATTATGCAAAGAATTTGCTGGTCTCTTTAATGGAAAACTGGGTTGTTATAAAGGGCCCCCAGTTGACTTCGAGTTGGACCCTGGGGTGGCCCCAATCCGACTCAAACCAAGGCGAGTGCCATTTGCACTGCAACGCAAGATCGAAGCAGAGCTGGATAAATTGGTCAAGCAGGGAGTTCTCTCACCCGTGGACTCTGCTAAGTGGGAGACTCCAATCGTCACGCCCCTTAAAGCAAATGGGGAAGTCAGGATCTGTGCAGATTACAAATGTACTATCAATAAGGCACTCAGGGGAAACTCATACCCCATTCCAGTCGTATCACATCTGTTGGCTAAACTGGCTGGGGGCAAGGTGTTCGCCAAAATTGACCTGGCACAAGCTTACCAACAGCTGCCAGTAACCCCACAATCAGCGGAAGCACAGACTATTGTCACACATAAAGGGGCGTTCAGAGTTAACAGATTACAATTTGGAGTTTGTGTGGCCCCAGGGATTTTTCAAGGGCTCATGGAACACCTGTTAAGAGGTCTGCCGGGGTCTTGCCATTTTTTGATGACGTTTTGATTGCTGGAAAAGACCCACAGGAACTGGTTGCGCGTGTTCGTGCAGTGTTGCTCAAGTTCAAGGAGGTGGGGTTGCAACTGAAAAGGAAAAATGCAGTTTTGGGGTGCCAACTGTGGATTTCTTGGGGTTTAAAATTGATGCATCAGGCATCCACCCCACAGATGCTAAGATTAAGGCCATCATCAAGGCGCCACGACCACAGAACAAGACGGAGTTGCAGTCATTCCTGGGACTTATTAACTTTTATCATTCGTTCTTACCCCAGAAAGCTTCGGTAGCTGAACCATTACATAGACTGTTGCAGAAAAAGACTGTGTGGCGATGGACGAGTTGTCCATGCATAAGGGTTGTCTCCTGTGGGGAGATAGGGTCATCATCCCAGCACCACTGAGAAACAGGGTTCTTGAGACGCTTCACATGGGACACCTGGGAATGGTCAGGATGAAGTCGCTAGCCCGATGTTATGTGTGGTGGCCTGGAATGGACCAGAACATAGAACAATGGGTACGAACATGCAAGGCATGCCAAGAGGTGCGGCCAGAAGTGGCCAGAGCACCAGTCCACTGGTGGGAGCAGTCCAGATCTCCCTGGAGCCGGCTGCACTTAGATTTTGCTGGGCCATTCCAAGGAAAGGTCTTTTGGTTATCGTTGATGCATATTCCAAATGGTTAGAAGTGGCGATGGTCCCTAGCATGGCATCAGCTGCCGTCATCAAGGTGTTGAGGCAGCTGTTTGCAACCCACGGGTTACCTGAGACCATTGTATCAGATAATGGGGCAGCTTTTGTATCCCAAGAATTCAGGGCATTCTTGGCTGATAACTTCATAAGAGGGGTCACATCCGCGCCCTTTCACCCATCCTCCAATGGGCAGGCTGAGCGCATGGTAAGAACAGCCAAAGAATCCATTGCGCGCTTAATGGAGGGTAACTGGTCAGCTCGCATCGCGCGAATGTTATTTTTGCAGCATGCGACGCCGTGTACCGCAACGGGCAAGTCGCCAGCTGAGCTGCTCTTGGGTAGGAGACTGGTAACGGTGCTGGATTATGTCCACCCGGATAAAATGCCAAACCATAATTCAAGAGCAACCCCCCAGGCTGAGACTGACACAACAAGGTACCTCGCCCCTGAAGATCTGGTCTGGGTGAGGAACTATTCACGAGGTTCGCGGTGGGTGGCTGGTGTGGTCACCCGGGCTAGTGGACCTGTGTCCTATTATGTGACCTTGGAAAATGGGCAAGTGTGGAAGAGACATATAGATCAGCTGAGGCGCCGGGCGCTCAGCAGGGAGGAGCCAGATAATTCATCCCAGGCTAACGACGCAGAGCCGCAAGACCAGAGTGAAAATGGCCCAGAGGTGCAATCACCAGGGGCTTTAACAAATGAACCAGGGTCTGCTAGTCCTCACGATGACGAGGTACAGATAGGGGACCCTGAGATGTCGGGGACTCCATCTGTTCCTGACGAAACCCCTAGAGCAGCCCCTCTACCACAGGTAACACCCAATCCAGAACCTGCAACACCTGTTGTCAGGAGATCAAGTAGAAGTTGTAGGCCCCCACAGTACCTGAGAGATTACGTCTGCTGTGCTCACTAGGGGGGAAGGGGTGTTGTGTATTGAGTCAAAGGATTTTATATCTGTATTATTATTGTCTGTATTTGCATTAGGGTAAAGTAACTGCCTTTTGGTTCCAGAGGGTACAGCTACTATTGGTTCATTTAAGCTGCTGTATTTGGATCCTCTGTCTTATTGGTTCCCTCCAAAGGGCAGGACTGTGATTGCCTGATATTGTTCCCTCCAAAATGTATCCTTTCTTGCTAGTCCCCTGTCCCTATAAATGTAGCTTTCCTCTCCCCAGTCTTCAGTCTTGTTGCTTTAATAAAGAAGTGTTACTAGAGAACTGTCTCCAGCATGTTATATCAGGAGAGCTGAAATCACAAACCCCACGTCACAACACACTTGAAAATGTTGGCAGCATTAAGATAATGCGTCTCCACCCCCACTGTTCAGCCTGGAAACTGAGGTCCCGCTCCGAGGGTCTTCTGGCAGTTCCCTCCCTGCGAGAAGTGAGGTTACAGGGAACCAGGCAGAGGGGCTTCTTGGTAGTGGCACCCGCCCTGTGGATTGCCCTTCCATCAGATGTCAAGGAAATAAACATCTGACTTTCAGAAGACATCTGAAAGCAGCCCTGTTTAGGGAAGTTTTTAATGTTTGATCTTTTATTGCTAATTATTATTATTATTATTCCGTTGGAAGCTGTCCAGAGTGGCTGGGGAAACCCAGCCAGATAGGTGGGGTATAAATAATACATTATTATTATTATTATTATTATTATTATTATTATTAGCCTGAAAGGCAGTGAGGCAGATGAAACTAGCAGTAGGGTGAAGCCAGAGTCAATGACTGGCAGATCTGATGTAAAATGGACCGGCCTCCGCCATGAGCAGATCATCTCTCCCATGAGGTCTCCCAGAATGGCTGCAGATGTTCACAAAGCCACCGCACATGGAATGTTTTACCAACTGTGTTACAACCTTTCCAGCACGTTGGTGAGGTTTAAATATGAAGCCACAACTTAATGGTCGATCCCTTTCACATTAGATCTGCCACTGGGAGGTGTGATCTGTTGAACTGCTCCCCTCCTGAATTCTCCTGGACTTCTAACCCCACTTCTCTTTGTGTGTTGCAAGGCGGCAAATACTTTGCTAATTACTTGCTAAGGTCACTTGGCTTAGTTCTGGGACACTTTGTGCAGCTTTGTAAGCTGTCCTCTAAGGAGGTCAGGGTTAGGGTACAGCTTTGCACAGAGTTTACCCCATTTTATCTTCCCAATGACCCAGTGCAGGTTAGTTATGAGAGTGGCTGTCCCAAAATCATCTCGCCGTAGTACAAAACTTAATGGGCCATCCTCCGGAGCAAGAACGCAGAAACTGTTATTTTAAACATTTTTAAAATATTTTTTATTTAAAAAAAACCACAATCAAAGCTTTTCTTTTAGGAATTCTAGGTGCCAAAATCCCAAGGGAGCAGAAAAGAGTATTTATGTAAGCGACCACAGCTGCATGGATGTTATTGGCCCAGAGATGGAAAGAAGATAAAGTTCCTTCCAGAGAAGAATGGCAGATGAAGTTGATGGATTATTCCGAAAAGGCTAAAATGACCAGAAGAATCAGAAATCAGGAGGACCCAAATTTTAATAAGGGATGGGGAAAATTTGTAATTTATCTTAAAAACCATTGTAAACAGTTAAAATTGTTAGTAGGATTGGAATCTAACGGTGAATTTTGGACATAACAGAGATGTAAAAGATTTGATTATAAAAGAACCAGGAGGGAATGATTAACAATAGGACCCACAAAGGGGAGGAGGAGATTCTTTGGAATCTTGTTTTTATGTTGTATGTTGGATATGTGATTGTAAAACTTTTAATATGAGAAACCAAATAAAATTTATTTATTTATTTACTTACTTATTTATTTATTTAAAAGGTGCAGAATCTGTGGCTCTCTAGATATGGTCTGCCTCAAAAAAATAAAAAAACCCCCAAAAACCCAACCAATCCAAGCCCCTCAGTCACAGTTAGCATGTCCAATGGTAGGGCATGATGGGGTGCTGTGATCCCATCAACATCTGGAGGGCCTAAGGCTCCTCACCTCTACTCGAAGGGAACCCTTCAGAACTCAAGAATTCATGAGGTAATTTATTTTTTAACTGTAGCCATTTGGAAGACCTAACTGGGGTTTTCTTTAATTGTTGCCTCTAGGGAATGCTCCCAAATATATATACTACAGGGCTGCCCCTTATTGGGATGAACCCTTTTCAAATCTTTGTGAACTCCTGAGGTAATCTTTATTTATCTAAACTGCGGCTGTTGCCATTGGAAATGCTTCCCCACACCAGCAAAATCAGGGTTCCTGAGACCGGAGAGGCAGCTCCACAAGGAGAAACCTTCTGGTCCTGCTTGCCTATTGGCCACAGGCCAAAAAGAGCGGGAAAATCCTCTTCTGCTATAGGGCAAAAAGAGCGGGAAAAACCTCACTAGCCAGAGGGGTGCTCCCTTGCCAAAACTCACCAATCCTGTCAGCCGCAGAAGGGGAAGGAGTCTTTAACTTCTCCACAGAAAAAGCCATTACATTATTTTCAGGGGTGGGGAGCCAGTGACCCTACACCAAATGTTGGTGAATCTCCCCAATTCCCATCACTGGCTGGGGATGGTGGGAGTTGGGACTCCAGCAACATCTGGAGGGGCCACAAGTTTATAGTCGTCTATCACATCCCCCATCTTACTCACCATTTTTCTAAACTAAGAAGTTCCTAAGTAATGAAACCTGTTGCTAAACATTTTATGCTTCATTTCCACCTTTCACACATGAACTTAAAAAATGCAGGAGCAGGACACTGAGTCGGCAGCTTTCAATACAAATGTGCGTTGGATACTTACCACGAATGCTCCTTCTGGGGCGAGGGTGGCAGGCCTCCAGTACAACCATGGGTTGAGGCCCCCACTGCCAGGGAGAGGCAGGTCCCATGGTAAACAGAAATCAGATTTTTTTAAAAGACTAATTTATAATATAGAAATAAATTGGGGCTTGTTACAAAATGCTGCAGTATGATGCACAGCCAGCAAGCCATGCTCTCTTCCAGCATACTCCATTCCATTCGCCCTCCTCCATTTTATTCCTGTCCCATCCATCCCACCAGCATTCTGTGCCCACAGAACACGCTCCGTCCTCGTCAGGCTCTTTTGGGCTGTCCCCTTCCCACCATAGGCTTTTTCCTTAATATTTCTTGTACTTCTGCAAACTTTGGAGGATCCCAAAGCCTTCTGACAGCATCCCTCTTCTATCTAAGGATCCACACTTTGAGAACCTGTGCAGTACATGTTCCTCGGTTCTCGAACGTCTCTGCTGACGAATGTTTCGGAACCTGAACGCCGAAAACCCAGAAGTAAATGCTTCCGTTTTCGAACGCGCCTTGGAGGTCGAACGGCTTCCGCTGCGTGTTTTTCAGTTTTCTCAATTGAAATTGGAGACAGCCCTTTGCGCCTCGGTTTTCGAACGTTTCAGAAGTCAAACGGTCTTCTGGAATGGATTACGTTCGAGAACCGAGGTACCACTGTATTTGCATACACAGGTGGGGCCCTCCAACAAAATGCTGCTGTGTGGAAGTGCTTCTGTTCAAAGTCAGATTGCCCTGTTCCAGAGTTGTTATTTTATTAATTTGCAGATGTTGGGCGGACACGCCGGTTGCCCAATCCCAGCTAGATTTCTTCACTGATTCTGGGAAAAACAGCCTACTCCATTCAGACTGTCCCATTCCCCCCACCACAGGAGACACATCTTGCCCTATGAGGAGGGGAAAGAATGCAAATGGGCAACAGACAACAGGGCCTGCTCTAGTCAGACTACCCCCATCCCACTTTTATATGTTATATCATTTGTCTTAATGCTTTAAATTGTAAACCGCCTTGTGTGTCTTGGTAGTAGGAAGATATATAAAAACAACAAATGAATAAATAAGTAAGAAATTGCTCTTCTGCTTTAAATATTGTTTAATTAAAAAAAAAAAAAACCTCATGGCGACGTCAATCGGACTTCACATTCTTGAGATATATCTTGGGTGCCGTCCATCCCTCAGGAGCCTTCCTCAGTCCAGCTCTCCTCCAGACGCGTTCCAGATCTCGTTCAAACCTTTTCTGTAAAGACAAGACATAAAAAACCAAGATCTAGTGACATGTCCCCTAGGATATTGTGTACTTTGAGGCAGCAAGTCCTGGATGGCTGTGATGCGGTCCATTAATGCGCAGAACTAGGAATTGCAGAATTACGCGTGGGTCAAGAAAATGACGAGTAGACATCAAAACTGAAATAGGTGGTCTATAGGAAATTGACAACTGGATAAGGGGGTATGGTGTGAAGAACCAGTATCACACAGGAAGAGAAAGAGGCATAGGTTCATATCCCACTTCTGACACATCTATTTGCATTATAGTGGGAAATAGCTCAATCACTAGAGCATGAGACTCTTAATCTCAGGGTCATGGTTTCGAGCCCCAAGATGTCCAAAAGATCTGATCCTTGTGGTCATTTCCAACTCTACAATTCTAGGATTCTATGATAATGCTCAACCTTGGGACTGGGCGCAATCAGGAAGTGGTTAGGTGTGAACGAATTCAGGCCAAGGGCCACATTCCCCTCTGGGCAGCCTTCCAAGGGCCACATGCCAGTGTTGGGCAGGGCCAGGAGCAAAAGCGGGTACAGCAACAAATGTGAATTTTGCCTTCATTCTGTAGGCTAGTTCCTATACGCACATGCAAACCTTTCTATCCTCCATCCAGATAAGCTGGATACATCCAGAGGCTGTATCAGAGTTCAAGGACACATTCCGGCCAGGCAAAAACACTCCAGGGCGAGAAGCAGGGCCAGTGCGAGGTGTGGCATAGAGAGAGGAGGTGCAGCCTAGTGAAAGCACTAGAGAAAGATGCTTGGAGGGCTACGTTTCAGCACCCACGTCTGACGTTCCCCATCCCTGAGCTAAACAGACTATGCCAGACCAGTTCCCAGAATCCTCCCTTCCCACACTCACTTGTTTCCTCCGGCGCCGACCTTCCCTGACCTTCTTCCGCAAGAACTTTGTCCGCTTCATCAGCTTCCTGTACTTGTGTCTGTTCATCTTCCTTCTCCGGATCTTCAGAACGTTCTTGCATTCCATTTTGCCCCGGTTCAGCTCGCCTCCCCCCTCCTCGCTGTCATCCTCAGCCTCTGCACCCCGGGAAGATGTGGGGAGCTCATACTGATGGTTGGGTTCATAGCCTAGCTTCTCATAAACACTGATGGCGCCTCCACCTTTAGGGAGGACATACTGGACCGTCAGCCAGCTTTCAAGGGGGGAGATCGACATCTTCCTTGGCACCAGGATTTCTTCCAGCTCAGGGTCCAACGCGTACCACTGCTGGGGTTGGGCTCCATTTCTGTTTGAGGGAAGTGTGCTGTAATTTGCGGAAGCTGCAAGTCTAGGAACCGGAAGCGAGATGGCCGATCTTGACAGAAAGCGTTCTGTGTGGAAATATGTGAACATTCATTATTTTTTTTAAAATTAACACATCAGCTACTGACTATTTCAATAATCTTTCGAATGCTTTCAAACGCCTTTTTAAAACCATTTTTAATCAGTAATTTTGACATTTTGTGTTATATTTTTGTGAACCGCTTTGAGGTTCTCTTACAAGCAAGTGATATATAAAGTTTGTTAATATATTAAATAAAGAAAAATGACTAAATAAAACAAATTCTGCAGGAAACATTTCATGTCACAGAAAGGGCATGATGACCGGGTCCAACATAACACACTCCAAAGATTTTGGGACTCCAAATCCCATCATCTCTGACTGTTGGCAGTGCTAGCTGGGGATGATGGGAGTTGATAGTCTAACATCTGATGGACACAAAGTTAGGGGAAAGTTGGTTTAATGCCCGCATGGAAACAAAATGGCTTACATAATGACAGGCTGTGTATATAATTAAGATGCATTTTGTAGCTTAAAAGTTAAATGAAAACCGTTCCGGAAGTATGTCCGACTTCCAAAACATTTGAAAACCAAATGACAGCTTCTGATTGGCTGCAGGAAGGTCCTGCAAAGTGATGTGAAAGGTCCCTCTCTGTCCGACTCCCTGGAGAGCCTCTGCCAGCCAGGGTAGACTATACTGGTCTGGATGGGCAAATAGTCTGACCTGGTGCATGGCATCTACTCGACATTCCCAAAGAATGGCTGCACTTACCTGCAAATCGACAGGCCCTCGCTATCTGAGACGTCAGTCGTGGTAGCAGCATACTGGAGGACCACTCTAACAGAAATCAAGACAGATTTTTTAAAGAGAAAAACAACCTTTAAATGTTATAGGACTGTGTTCCCTCCTTCCTCAAATACAGTGCCTGTAACCACACGCCATCAGAAATCATGGGCTGTAGCTCAGTGGCAGAGTATTTTCTTTGCATACCTGCCATCTTTAGGAAGAGATGACTCAGTGTCCCTGTTTGAAACCCAGAACTTTCTGGCTGCCCATCGGTGTAGACTGGATGGCACAATGAACCGACTGTGCAGAAAGCAACTTCCTGTGTCCCAAGTTAAAAGTTAAGCACCTTAACAACATACCGAGTAGTCAGGCATGCAGGTTACAGGGCCAAAATCTTCCCCAACCCACTGCGATGTATGTATAGCACCTCTGTTTAAATTGCAGCAATTGTTTTCAAAATTAGCAGGCGGATTTTGATACACATATCATTCTGTGCCATCTTTTTTGGAGATGTGTAAGGAGCCTCCCTATGCAGATGTGTTAAAGGTCACATGTTTAGGGAACTTTTTAATGTTTGATGTTTTATTTTGTTTTTAATATTCTGTTGGGAGCCGCCCAGAGTGGCTGGGGAAACCCAGCCAGATGAGCAGGGTATAAATAAAAAATTACTACTACTACTATACAGAAACGCACCCAGAAACATCATTTCTGATGGCGAGTCCCCCACTGCCCAGTCAATCCCCCCAGAATTAGACCCTTCCTACCGTAAGCTACCATAAACCACGTATCACTGGCGACCCCTTAATAAGATAGGACCCCAACGTAGCCTCTCCCCGCCTCTTAAAAGATGTTCCGTATATACAGTATTAACAGCCACTCTTATTAGCACTCTTACCATAAATAACACACTAATGTAGCCTCCGAAATGAATACACGGCTTCTATCAAAGTCAATCTGCCCTACTTCCGGGTGTAGGGAGAGAAGAAGCGCTGCTCATCTTAACTTACCATCCACAAGGGCTTACCATCCCGTTCACGACGATGGGGGCTGTTTGAACGGGTAACTTCCGGCAGAGCAGTTCGGTCCCTCCCGGTCATCCGGAAGTTCCGGCGCAAAAAAAGTTCCTACATTTCTTTCCCCATTTGCCGCTGCTCCCCCCTGGCGGTAGTCCGTGGGATAGCAACGTAGCGAGCTTAATCCCCGCCCTGGCAACCAAGCAGGAACGCCGCTCAGGAGCGGGAGAGGTATTGCCAGTCCGGATCCTGCCGATGTTGCTAGACTCCAACACCCACCATCCCTGATTCCATTGGCTGTGCTGGCTGGAGGTGATGGGAACTGGAGTCCTTCAACATCTAGAGGGTCACAGGTTCCCCATCTCATGGCTAGATTGATGAAAGGTGTGACTCATTATACAGTGGTACCTCGGGTTACAGCATCTTAAAAAGACAGCATCTTAAAAAGCAGAGACATCACCTTGCCAACAAAGGTCCGTATAGTTCAAGCTATGGTTTTTCCAGTAATGTATGGAAGTGAGAGCTGGACCATAAAGAAGGCTGATCGCTGAAGAATTGATACTTTTGAATTATGGTGCTGGAGGAGATTCTTGAGAGTCCCATGGACTGTGAGAAGATCAAACCTATCCATTCTGAAGGAAATCAGCCCTGAGTGCTCACTGGAAGGACAGATCCTGAAGCTGAGGCTCCAATACTTTGGCCACCTCATGAGACGAGAAGAGTCCCTGGAAAAAACCCTGATGTTGGGAAAGATGGAGGGCACAAGGAGAAGGGGACGACAGAGGATGAGATGGTTGGATGGTGTTCTCAAAGCTACCAACATGAGTTTGACCAAACTGCGGGAGGCAGTGGAAGACAGGAGTGCCTGGTGTGCTCTGGTCCATGGGGTCATAAAGAGTTGGACACGACTAAACAACTAAACAACAACAACAACAACCACCTCGTGTTACAGACGCTTCAGGTTACAGACGCTTCAGGTTACAGACTCCACTAACCCAGAAATAGTACCTCGGGTTAAGAACTTTGCTTCAGGATGAGAACAGAAATTGCGTGGCAGTGGCAGCAGAAGGCCCCATTAGCTAAAGTGGTACCTCAGGTTAAGAACAGTTTCGGTTTAAGAACGGACCTCCAGAACGAATTAAGTTCTTAACCCGAGGTACCACTGTATAAAGTGGACTTATGGGAAGAAGTCCAGGGCTCCACTCAGCAGAAAGATTTGTGTGTGTGCAGGCGTGCATGCTAAATGGCGGGACTGGCTGCTTGCAATGCTTTGAAGGAATCCCATTGAAATATCGCACTCCCCAGACCATTAACTCCACAAACTAGGGCTGCCATGTGTCCAGATTTTCCTGGACACTACTGGAATTTCAATGGCAGAATTGACATCTGGGGGGAATTTCTGAAAGGCGGCGTTTCATCCTGGATCAACTTTCGGGGTGTCCTGGTTCTTACTTTTTGAAATATGGCAACCCTATAATTACCAAACACCACCACTGTATGAAGTTGTGGTTGTCCTGTTGCTTTGTTACTCAATGTTGTTTATGAAGAATGAACTTGAAATCGTCCAGCACATCCCCTGATTAAAGGAAATCTTGGACGGGCTGATTAAGGGCCTCTCCAGACTGGGTTTGTTTCCCCTTTACTCCAGCGTGTCTTCCGCAATATGTCATTGACACAATAACAGTGCATTAGTGGGAGATCATCACAGGAAGGCTCAATCCCTGCCTCCAATTGGGTTAAATATTTTTGCAGTATTTTCAGTGGTCAGTCTGGTCAATCACATGCACTAACAGCGTGTAAGGATTTCGCTAACCGACCTGAATAGCAGCCAGTCTCCTGTAATGAGATAAATGTCCTTATTTCCTGCCTGAAATCAAATAAACCTCCTGGAGATTTGCTTCTGCCTGTTCTATAAAGAATACATAGAATGGTGGATGCCTAGCCTGCCTGGCTTATTTACCACTAAAACAACACAGGCCAAATGCCCTCTGGATGGTATGAGTATCATTTCCCCAATTTATAAGAAAGGGGATAGGAATGACCCACAAAACTATTAGCCAATTAGATTGTTAGATATCTCACCAAAGCTATGAAGAACAAGCAGGGGTCAGAGGAGGACACGGTAACATTGACCAATGCTTTACTTGGAACCATATGATAAGGAACTATACTAAGAACAGCAAGCTCTAGAACAAACTTCCTAATTTAGATATCGCTGGGTGTATTGAGTGAAACCCTCTCTTGGCAGTGACATATGGAGGCAGTGAGAGTCAACACAAAGCAAACTATGGGGGCATTGATAAAGTTTTATTACAAAAAGGGAGGGCAGCTGATTGAACTCTAAAGATATTTGGTAGTAAAGTGCTTACTCAAATGCTCTATGGTGTTGAGATCTGGTGCTCCGAATCAAACTCCATTTAAATTTTGAATACTGTGCAGAAAACACTCTACCATCAGGAATATATATCAGAATCTCTTCTTCGTACAGAATCCAGGTGGCTAACAATTAAGGCAAGAGTGGACTGTGCTTAGTTAATGTGTATTAAAAGAATTGCTACCAATCATCCCCCCCCCAACTGTACAATATGGAATTGAGTGATAAGCAACTCTGTAAAGCAGCTTGTCAAGATGTTTCAGACTATTATTATTTTCCAGAACTGAGCTCTGCATTGACTTTGAGTGTCAGCTATGGGGTTGGCACTTCTGGATAGAATTCAGAAGGGACCCGCAACTAATTAGAAACACCAGATTTCCCCTTTGGCATCTGCTCTTGAGAACAGAGCATTTTAGAGATAGTTATCTGACCAGACTCTCACCAGTTTCCTTAAGAAATGTATTTATTGAGCTGCGTTTCCAAGTGATTCCCACTGCAATTTGGGATGACTGCTACAAGGTCCTGTACGCAGATAGACTTTGTATTTGTGGTCAACCTCAGGTGGAAGACATTCATTATCTGTTAGCCTGCACCTTATATAGACCCAAGATCACATTCTGAAACAGTTGTTCACACAATCAAGCAGGTACACCCTAACAGAAATGGTTCCATTTCTTTTGAGTGACAATAATAGCTTTGCAACACACAGAGTGGCCCTCTGTGCACTGGGTGCAAAATAAATAAGGAAAAATGAGATAGATGAAATCACTATAAGTTGTGGTGGTGATTCGGAGGTTTAATCTGAAATCAAGCTAGATTTAAGCTTTTTGGTATCTCTGCTATCTTGCCTCTGTTACATCATAGACGTTGGCCTATATTATAGATGTGTGTTCTGTATTATTTTATTAATACTATTGCTACAAGTTTGTCATGGCCTCTGGCCAGAACAATAAACTTATGGACTATATGTTGTAAATTGCTTTGTGATGCCTTGTGGGAAGCAACTAATAAATGATTTATTAATTTTTTTGTATTTTTACTACCAGAAAAGAGGAAATACACCAGTGGGATTTTCTGTCTTGAGTATCCAAATTAATCTGAGCCCTCTTGGACACTATTCACCATGACCTTGTTGGGAATACAACAGCAGGGATCATTCAGTTAGTAAGCTAAGTGTTCACTATTGACAGCCAGACGAACTCTCAGAGTGGAGGTGTTGCCGAGCAACTAATCAGATTGGCATGATCCTTGCTGAGGTAATCCATGCTTTGATGGGCTGAGACAGTTTTCTGATTGCTTGTGTGGTAGAATACTTGTCCCAGCTATGGATGCAGCCTGGCCTAACTCATACGGAGGGCTGGGAATGTCCCATTCCTGAAACCCTAGAGAGCTGCTGCCGGTCAGTGTAGACAATACAGAACTAAATGGACCAATGTCTGACGTGATATGAGGCAGCTTCCTATGTGGGAGGCCTGTCAAACAGCTACTAGCTACGATGGACGGAGGTGGATTTCGGACCACATTCAATACAGCTATTGCTACGTGTATGTTAAAAACACAGTGAGGCAGAACACCATTGAGCAAATCAAAGTCCATTCCTGTTAAAATGCGTATATCCAGACTCAAGCTTTTGCTTCAGGTTCTTGGAATCCAGGAGCTACTGCTACCAGGGCAAAGTTTTCCCTTCCCAATCCAGGAAAGCACCATTGTCTTTTTCGCTGAGCTGAGCTAAAAGAGAGATGATCGATGGGACAGCATCTTGCACCTTCAACGGAGCCTAGGAGAACAGAGGAGAAGGGTGGAGAGAGAGGGGGGGGCAAGCTTATTACAGCAGCAGTGTCCTTCAAAATAAAATAAAGGAGACCCACACATAAAAAACATAACACCGGTTCTGAAATACCCACATTGGCTCCCAGCATGTTTCCGGGCACAATTCAAAGTGTTGGTGCTGACCTTTAAAGCCCTAAATGGCCTCAGTTAGTAGTCCATTGGTATCCAGTGTTAGAAATTCAGATATATAAGCTAGGCACCAAACGGCTCCTTAAACCAGGGTTACCAAAATGGAATGCCTAGTTGCTGTTTTGGGGCCAGGACAGTACTGGAAGGCAGTGGCAACTGGTAGGGTGGAAGGCAGGGAGACCAACAGTAGGTGGTGCTAGAGCCAGCAACAGGCAGAGCCAACTCATTCTAGTTTTGCCCCCGTCCTCCTCCATGCTGAATTCTACAAGGGGCAACAGCTGGCAGGCAGGGCCACCACCTAGACTGGTTGTAAGTTAGTAGGCAGGCAGGACCTGGCAGAGGGCAGACTGAAGCATTGGGGCCCCCTGCACCCCAGTGTATCAGCCTCCATTGATAAATGGAAGGATAAATGGGCTGCATCAGTGCAAGGCAATGTTACGTGTTCATAAGACACTGATTAGTCTGCCCTTTCCTTTAAAAAAATAAAATATTATTAATGCAGAGTGAAAAAAGCGATACATCAGAACTGAACAAAAAACAAGTAGAAATAATAATAAACCAAGTAAAACAAAAAACACAAAGCATTATAACAAAAAGAAAAGAGGTCTTTTGACTGCAGACCTGACCTCCTGTCTACTCCTTAATTCAATTACATATAACTTATTGCCGGTAAAAACTATTATCATGGTTTAACTGATTCTTAGTTTTTCTTCGATCTCACACCATTCTTGATACTACTACTGAAATTAGCCAAACGCTGCAACAGAGTTTAAACTTCTGCAATTGTTTTTCAAATATATTTTAAAGACTTCCCATTTTGAAACAAACACCTGTTCTGGTTTATTCTTTATTTTTTCCAGACAAGTTCTATCTAACTCCGCATACTCAGTCAATTTTTGGATCCAATCTTATGTAGATGGAAGTTTGTCAGATTTCCAGTTTTTTAAGGGAAAGGGAATTTGTGTCTTTGGCGCACAGCACCCTGCAAACAAGCTCAGGGAATGGCGACGTAAAGCATCCACACTCACCCCACCCCACCCCAAACATCAAAAACGGAGGGAATTTTCCGTACACCCATGTACAGCCCACGTCTTCAGCGCCTGCATGTACTGGGTGTCGGGAGCACCTTCTCTGACCTTTCGATCACAGGAATGCAGGAACAGAACACAGCATTCCCGAGGAATAGGTTCTGGTGCTGTGGACTCACATTTGCTCATGAGAGCACCTCAAATGCAGCAGAGTAACGGAAGCAAAGCTGTGGAGGTTTTGTTGCATACCTAATTTATTTCTTCGAATTAAACAAATAAAAGAACATAACAAATGTGGGATGCGGGTGGCGCTGTGGGATAAACCACAGAGCCTAGGACTTGCCGATCAGAAGGTCGGCGGTTCGAATCTCCATGATGGGGTGAGCTCCCGTTGCTCGGTCCCTGCTCCTGCCAACCTAGCAGTTCGAAAGGCATGTCAAAGTGCAAGTAGATAAATAGGTACTGTTCCAGTGGGAAGGTAAACGGTGTTTCCGTGTGCTGATCTGGTTCACCAGAAGCGGCTTAGTCATGCTGGCCACATGACCCGGAAGCTGTACACTGGCTCCCTTGGCCAATAAAGCGAGATGAGCGCCGCAACCCCAGAGTCGGCCACGACTGGACCTAATGGTCAGGGGTCCCTTTACCTTTAACAAACATGTACGAGAGAAACAGCTCTCTCATACTGCCATCTTGTCTCTAGACAAGATGTTTAGGGAAGCTTTTAATCTTTAATATATTATGGTATTTTGATATTCTGTTGGAAGCTGCCCAGAGTGGCTGAGGAAACCCAGCCAGATGGGCGGGGTATAAATAATAAGTTATTATTATTATTATTATTATTATTATTATTATTGACAGATCAAAGAAAAAGCCACACAGTACTGGAGACGGAAGTCTGGAAAAGTAGCTTCTGTCCCCTCCTTTCTTTCTCACAAGGATCTGGTGATCCTTGCAATGGGAGGGATGAAAATACTGACAGGAACAACAACACATGGCGGGCAAAGAACTTACTTAAACAAGAGTGGGGGAGAAAAGATTGACTTTACTGACCTTTGTCCCTCCCATATCCGTTTGGATCCAGCCTGGGTGGAGGGCGATGCAGAGGATCCCTTCCAATTTCAGGTCTGTAGCAAGGCACTTCGTGAGCATGTTTAGTGCCGCCTTGGAGGGAGGTCAGGGAGAGAAGTGGAAAGAGTTAGATGACATGAGGCTTTTAACCTCTGGGTGGTGGGTTCGAGCCCCACGTCGGGCAAAAGATTCCTGCATTGCAGGGGGCTGAATCTGATGACCCGCGTCATCTCGACAATTCTATGAAAACTCATCTTTTTTTCTTTCCACAAAATTCTTTTATTATTGAGCAATGAACCACTTTTAAGCAACAAACAACACGTCACGTCAGTAATATCAGGAATTCGAAACATCGGGTCAAAGCCAATGCTTGTCCTACTCAAAGCAGACTCATTGGAGTCAATAGACCTAACTTCGCCACGTTCATTAATTTGAATGAGTCTTCTGAGTAAAACTTCATTGGACGCAACTCATAGGAGTTCCCACTGATAATTATTCTTTTTTAAAAAATTTCTAATAATAGCAATTATGCATTAACACTCCCCCCCACACATATCTTGATATAGAGTTATAGCTAAATTTTGCTCAGATAAGACACATCCAAATTAATGAAGCTAACTTAAATCCTGCCCATTAATTTGAATGGATCTACTCTGAGTAAGACTAATGTTGGCAGCAGCTCGCCTTTTAAAAAGAACTCAAAATAAATTATTATAAGGAGGTTATGTGGCATTTCAGCTAATGTGAACCAATTCACTCTTTGACTTTTATCCCAAACTATCAAGGTCAGACAGAGTGTTTTCATTTAAAATATAAATAAAACAAAGTAAATAGTTTCAAGTAGCGACTACTGATCTCTTCCTAGAGATAAATTCTATCATAATTTGGATCTTGGTATCCCAATGAAGTCCTTGCATCAGCATCAGCAATCTTCTATCGATCCTTATCTCAAGGACAATTATGACTGAGTGAATCAAAGCTGCTGAAAAATCAGGATCGATTGACGGATTGCATTTCTATGCTGCTTTTCATTCAAATGAATCCCAAAGCGGCTTACAAACAATAAACAACAACAGCATAATAAACCATAACAGAACATCACAAATACAGCACAAATCATATAATGTATCATATCTAGAAGATACACATGTGACGAAACCCCAAGACCATACTTTAGCAACTTGGGGGCAGGTATTATCCTATAATTAAACCCCTTCATATTAATGTCAGTCTGGTCCAAGCCTATCCTGGTTTCTTGGAGGCCGGTCATGTAATATTTCTTCAAAGGGGTAACCACCTCCTTATCAGTTATTTTGTTAGCTAGTCCTGCCACATTCCAAGAGATTTACCTACAATAAAAGTCTGAAGAGATGCCCCTCCATAAAAGGCTGAAAAATACCGGGGAATCCTATCTGACCCTAAAATCTCACGTTGCGTCAAGAGGCGATAAGAGCGCTCAGCTCTTTGTCCTCTATTCTCTTCATATGTATTTTAATCCAGCTCTTAAATTTGCAGAGGGTGTGCTGTAACCTTCCTCAACTAATACAATATCATTCCTGTCAAGGCAACACCTAATATTTGAATCCCTGGCTGGCTAGGGAATGTTAGGTGTTTGTTTGTAGCTGACTCGCTGAGAACGCATCAGGAGGAATGATTTTGTTTGCCTCTGAAAATCTCATCTCCGCCCTAGAAGAGCTAAAAAAACCCTTAATGGCCCTTTGGAGATAAAAGCGGGTGTCAAATTAGATCTGTTTGTTGGGAACCCAGCTCTGCAGATATAACCAGAGGGATGATATCAACTGGAACCACTATTTGGAAATCAACTTTTACTGGCTGGGCAGAGGATATCAAGCTATGGAAATACGCTAGCTCTTTGGAATTTGAGATGCTCTTTTGTGCAAACCCAGTCACCTCTGTATCCTGGTTCACTACCTTCTACCTTGCCGACTTCCTTTCTTATTGTGCAGTCCCATCAAGAACATAAGAAGAGCCTGTTGGATGAGCTCAATGGCCCATCGAGTCCTGTATCCTCTTCTCTCACAGTGGCCAAACAGATGTACGTGGGAAACCCACAAGCAGGGTTTGAACACCAGAGCCCTCTCCCCTCCTGTGGTTCACAGCAACTGCCAGCAGAGGGATGAGCCAGGAGGGAACCAGTCCAGGTTCTCTAGGGAAGGAGTTCCAAAGTCTGGGAGCCACCACCAAGAAGGCCCTCTCCCGTATCCCCACCAAGGGTGCCTGTGAGGGTGGCAGGAAAGAGAGAAGGGCCTCCCCCTGAAGATCTCAGAGCCTGATCAGGTTCTTACGGGAGAATATAGTCCTTCAGATAGACTGAGCTGTATCTAAAGCTACCTTCAGAGCTATATTCCAATTTTCTTCCCAGTCAATAGGTGAAATAGGTCCAGTTACCTCCTGCAGATTAATAAGGTCTGTCCCATCTCTTCCTGGAAATGGTGGGGACTGAGCCCAGGGACCTTCTGCAAGCAAAGCAGATGCTCCAACACTGAGTTAGAGCCCATCCATTCTAAGGATTCATGGTTTGGAGCACTGCTGAGTAGATCCATTAACTTCAACAGGTTTACACCAAGTTAGGAGTAGCATCAGATCCAACTCATCACTTTGAAAGTTATCTTACATCTCTTCCCACTCCCCCCCCCGCCCGCCCCCTCTCCATTCTCCCAATATAATTACCTACTAAGAACACTCACCTTCGAAATTCTGTAAGGGTATATCGTGTGGTAAATGTCATTGGATTTTGCAAGCCCTATGGAGGCCGAGATGGATGACATGTTGACAATTGCAGCACGGTGACACCCCATGGTGGCACTTTGCTTGGCAGCTTTCTTCAAAAGCGGCAGAAATGCCTAAAGGAATTTATTTATTTTTAACGGGAAATCGGAAGGTGATGTCTGCACAGGCAACGTATTTTTTAAAAGAGCACGCGGTTAGCATTTCCTTAAAACAAATAAAAACATAACCTTTCAGCAAGTTAGCAAATCCTACAAAAGGGCGAATACACTCTGCAAGTTAAAGCAAATTTGCATATCCTCTTATTTCCTATCTCCTGAGAAATCTTATTTGGAAATTCTTCCAGCTTCTGAGATTCAGGCAGTTCTGAGATTCAAACTGATCCTCCGGGTCCAAAGGAATAGAAACTCGATTTATTTATCTATATATTAATTTATTGGGGGGGGGGGACGACTGAACATAAGGACTAGAAACTTGATTTAAAAAAAAACGATCAAAAGTTGTGATTTCTCACTGAAGTGAAATTCTGCAGCCAATTTCACAGTGGACTGTTTCTCATGACCACCTGTGTGAAACAGAGCTGCAATGAGGAGTTCCCAAGACATCAATGACTGACTGCCTCTCTGCTAGAGCCCCAGAGTCCATCTACAGGAGCCAGGTGTGGAGGCAGATGCAAAATCTGTGCCAAGCCAATATGAGTGATACGCTGGGTACAGACTGAAGTGCAACTTTTATCTGAGCTCTCGTGGATAAGGAATTCTGGGAACATACTTTAGATGGGTGGGGTGGGGGAGGGAAGACAATAATTGTTTAGAGCGACTTGGGAGTCAGAAACTCTTGCCAGGCACAGACATGTAGGACATGTGTTGTATCAGATCAGACCATTGACTCAACTAACCAGTATTGCCTGCATTGATTAGAAGCAGCGCTTCAGGGTTTCAGATAGAGAATATTTCCTAGCCTGGCCTGGAGATGCTGGTAGAGATTGAACCAGGGACCTTCTGCATGTAAAGCAAATGTTTTACCACTGAGCTACAGCCCTTCTTCTACCAGAGCAAACCAACTGCGGACCTACATCTACCCTCTTCCCAAGCCATTCCATGTTAACTCAGCCTTAAGGCTGCAAAGCTGACAGGTCCACATACAGGTTCGAGCACTTTTGAGCTTTTTTTTAACACTCTAGCAATATATAAATCTTACAAAATAGGTTAAGCAACAGGCAGCTTAGCAACCAAACAGAAGAACTACTGTTGGTTAAATGTCCCTGGCTGTTTGCCTGCGGCAGAGGACTACTTGTCCCGGGCGAACATGGTAGATGCCAGATTTACCGACTTTGTTCTTACCTTGGAGAGCATTAGCTGGGCAACAGTGTTGGTCTCGAAGGTCCTGAGCATGGCTTCCGTGGTGACGTCTTCCAGAGAACCTAAGACATTGATGCCAGCGTTGTTGATGAGGCAGTTCAGCCCTTTCTCCCCAACAATGTCTTCCACCTTCTTGACCGTTTCCTTGATGCTGCTTTCGGAAACCACATCTGGATTCGAGAACACAGGAGAAGATGATGCATAATTGAGAGAGTCAGACTGCCGGTCTATCTAGCCCAATACTGTCTACATTGACTGGCAGAAGCTCTCCGGGCTTTCAGACAGTAGACATCCCCAGCCCTAGCTGGGGACTGAACCTGTCAACTTCTGCATAGCTCTCTCACCGAGGTGTCCAGAGCGGGTGGGGAGGAGAGAGCAGTTAAGGAGTAACTGCTCCAGAACAATGATCCATAGGTCAGCCTTGTCTATAGTGACTGGCAACTAGGGATGTCAGAGAATTCTGCAGAGAAACAAAGTAGAATTTGCTGCAGTTCACATGCTGGTCTGTGTGCAAGAATGGAAATTGGTCAACGATTGGGATTTGTTCTCTTCGTTGTTGTTCTTTGCATTTGCAAATGATGTGCAATTAATGGCCTTTCTCCCACGGTTGTTTGTAACCAATGTTTTACTCAAAGTAGACCCATGGAAATTAATGGGCCTGTCTTAATTATGCTCAGAACATAAGAAGACTCTGCCGGATCAGGCCAGGTGTTCATCGAGTCCAGAGCCCTGTTCTCATAGTGGCCAACCAGCTGACCCCAAGGGAAGTCCACAAGCAGGACCCAACTTACAGCCATCCAAGTTGGTGGCAGGCCATCGTTGCCTCCAGTGGCAGTGAGTTCCATAGCTAAACTATGCACTGCATGAAGTAATATATTCTTTCACCTGTCCTAAACCTTCCAGCTTTCAGCCTCATTGGACGTCTCCAAGTTCTCGTGTTACGAGAGAAGAAGAAAAGACATGCACTCTTTCTGAATAAGGGAGGAAAACATTTCCTTATCCACTATCTCCATGCCATTTTGTAAATTTCAGTCCTGCCACCTCTGATTCACCTTTTTCTCAATTAGAAAATCCCATACTTCCTAACAGGGGAGTCGTCACATCCCCTCGTCCTTCAGTTTCAACAGGTTTACTCTGAGCAGGACTAACACTGGATACAATCCTATTTCTTTCGGTGTCTCTCAAACTCGGGTCCCCCCAACTGTTGTTGGACTATAACTCCCATCATCCCTAGCTGGTAGGGCCAGTGGTCAGGGATGATGGGAGTTGTAGTCCAGTAACAGCTGGAGACCCAAGCTTCAGATATTTTCATGGGGGCCGTCAGGCGCAGAGCAGAAGAGGAAACTTTTTGCTTACCAAGCGGCAAAACCCTGATGTTGCTGTACTGCTTGCAGAGTTTCTGTAGCTCCTAGAAAGAAAGAACAAGACCAACATTTGTGGACATCCCATCTGCCTAAATGAATTTTAATGGCAGCCCTCGCCAGCCTTCCTCCACCCAAAGGATAGCAATAGTATTATTATTATTTGTCTTTTTTATTAAATGTATTTACCGCCCTTCTTCCATAGATCCCTGGCAGGTTCACAACATAAAAATACAATATAAAAACCACAAAATACATAATAGAAATGCTTCTTTAATCTCCTCTCTCCTCCTCTTCTTTTGCTTTCTCTCTCTTTCGGTCTCTTTTTCCCCTTTGCTTCTTTCTGCCTTTGCTCTTTGCTATATTAAGCAGCTGTTTTAATTTCAGCGTATTGTAAAAGTACACTTTATAATGGGTACGAACGTCTGTACATTTATGAACAAGTATCAATAAATAAAAAGGGAAAAACAAACAAAAATTAAAGGATGAAAAAGGAAAACCGTAAAGCAGGCATGTGGAATGAGCCCAGTTGCAAAGATCTGAAAAATAATATGAGTCCAAGTAAAGAATTGTAGTGTTATCAGAGCATAAAGTCTCATTCTAGGATTGCCAGGTTTGGGATGAAGCTTGTCTTGAAAAGGACGGTTTTGGGGTATATGTCATAAACACAGGCAACTCTCGTTAATTAAAGGTGGTGTAGTGTGGTGTAGTGGTTAAGAGCGGTGGACTCGTAATCTGGTGAACCGGGTTCGATTCCCTGCTCCTCCACATGCAGCTGCTGGGTGACATTGGGCCAGTCACACTTCTCTGAAGTCTCTCAGCCCCACTCACCTCAAAGAGTGTTTGTTGTGGGGGAGAAAGGGAAAGGAGAATGTTAGCCGCTTTGAGACTCCTTAGGGTAGTGATAAAGCGGGATATCAAATCCAAACTACTACTACTTCTTCATAAAAGAGCACCAATCCAACCCTGCAGAAAGTAACGCTGAAAGCGCCCCATGAGATAAGCGGCATTAACCAAAGTGGGTGACTCACCTGGGGGTGGGTTTTCTGGGCTGGCAGGCTGGATCCCCTCAATGCTCAGCCAGTGGGCTGCGAGAGAAGGGGGGAACCAATAATCCCCCCACCCACCCACAACACATTTCAAAGGGCATTGGATGTTAATCAGCCAAAGGCTTGGTTGAAGAGGGGCATTTTATAAGGAAGGTGCCAAGTAAGCCTTCCTGGGGAGAGCATTCCACAAGCAGGGAGCCACCACAGAAAAGGCCCTTTCTCATGCTGCCACCCTCTGCACCTCTCATGGCAGAGGCACACAGGAAAGGGCCTTAGATGATGATCTCAGGTTTCATATGGAGAGAGGCGGTACTTACGGTATTGCAATCCTGACATAATGCAACAGGACCCCCAATATGCTGCATGTCTGTATGGGGCAGCGGCAAGGGACTGTAACTGCCTGCCTCTCAATTTTTATCAGCGTCTGAATCCAGCCTAGGCAAGACCGTTCTTCTCCTGTCGATGGTTTAACTGGGCTGTAGCCTTTCCACCCCCTAGGGAGAATTGTACACCCCTAATAGTTAGCTAGGGATGCAGGTGGCGCCGTGGTCTAAACCACTGACCCTCTTGGGCTTGCCGATCAGAAGGTCAGCGGTTCGAATCCCCACGACGGGGTGAGCTCCCGTTGCTCGGTCCCTGCTCCTGTCAACCTAGCAGTTTGAAAGCACGCCAAAAAGTGCAAGGAGATACAGTGGTACCTCAGGTTACATACGCTTCAGGTTACATACTCCGCTAACCCAGAAATAGTACCTCGGGTTAAGAACTTTGCTTCAGGATAAGAACAGAAATCGTGCTCCGGCGGCGCGGCAGCAGCAGGAGGCCCCATTAGCTAAAGTGGTGCTTCAGGTTAAGAACAGTTTCAGGTTAAGAACGGACCTCCAGAACGAATTAAGTACTTAACCTGAGGTACCACTGTAAATGGGTATCGCTCCGGCGGGAAGGTAAACGGCATTTCTGTGCACTGCTCTGGTTTTAGTGTTTTGTTGTGCCAGAAGTCACTTAGTCATGTTGGCCACATGACCCGGAAAAGCTGTCTGTGGACAATCACCGGCTCCCTCAGCCTGTAAAGTGAGATGAGTGCCACAACCCCAGAATCGTCTGTGACTGAACTTAATCATCAGGGGTCCTTTACTTTTAATATTTAGCTAACTGGTACATGTAGTACAATTTAGTGTACTAAGGCAGGTCAAGGTAAAAAGAATCCCAATTTCACAAACACACTGAGCTGGCCAGGAAACAGATTTTGGGATTGCAGAACGTAAGTCAATGAAAGGAGAAATCTCTGTGCTTTGTTGGTGAAATGCTTTTGTTCAATACTACCCTAAATAGTTATTTGGATTCCACCCTTTCCCCCTAGGCAATAAATGCTAATTACAATGTTAACATCTACTCTGCAAGTCCTTCTCTCTACTGCAAGTCATTTTCCATGAGTTTGGAAATCTGAGAGTCTCTCCCAGCCCCACCTGTAAGCGACTGAACCTGGGACCTTTGGAAGCAAAGCTACTGTTCTACCACACTGAGTGGCAGCTCTTCCCAATGGAATTCACAGCCCAGGGAACTAGAAGGTGCTGCTCAATCACAAGAGCGCCTCTGAGGATGCACAGAGTGTGCTTTCCTCCCTGCAAAATAGACAGAGACAGAACTCATCTGCCCAGCAGTGAGGTGCAAAAAAGAATCTCTCCAAACCGGGGTAACGGGGATCAAAATAGCAGAGAGGGTTCAGTGTACTAAGCGAGTGTAGAGTGAGGCAAATTGGAGAGAAATTATTCCAACTGGTGACTTGGGAGGGACTGGCCAGGAAACAGTTCCTGAGATCATTGTTTCTCCCAGCAGTTGTTGGACTACAACCCCCATCATCCCTGACCACTGGTCCTGCTAGCTAGGGATGGTGGGAGTTGTAGTCCAACAACAGCTGGAGACCCAAGTTTGAGAAACACCGGCTTAGGTTGATGAAAGCCAGACTCCAGCTACAAAAGCCTCTTGGTCTGGGGTGTTTGCATTTTTTTTTTGTTGGGGGGGGATGTTGCTGTGTTGTTGTTTTTTTTGCATCTTTATTTTAGATCTTCTTGTGATTTATGTGGAAATTGTTCGGTTTGGTTGTGTATTTTAAAATGTTTTATTAACAGTTTATGACTGCTTTTGTTATGTCATAATTATGTATTTTCTTTTCATGCTGCAAACCACCTTGAGCATGGTTTGAACTTTGGAAAGGCGGCAGCAAATAAAAAGTACAAATAAAAGTACATATCTATGGACATAATCCACTTTAACTGTGCAGTCCTGAATCTGCCGGTATGCCAATTAAATCTCACTCAGAAAGAGCAATGGCAGCCGTCTGCATTGGGTAGAGTTAAAGAAAGAGATTTAAAATAAAACTGGCAAGGTCATCTAGCCCTTATATAAATCCATGATGCAACCACACTCATTGGAAGTCTGACTGGTTTTGTTCAACTCACTTATCCTAGAGAGCCGGATGATAATTTTATGAAAAAAATCTGTGTGGTTTTCCTTAGCATCTATGGAAAAGCAGATAGTAGACCCCAGAACCTCATTGCTGATACAGTGGAACCTCGGGTTACATACGCTTCAGGTTACAGACTCCGCTAACCCAGAAATAGTACCTCGGGTTAAGAACTTTGCTTCAGGGTGAGAACAGAAATCGTGCTCTGGCGGCGCGGTGGCAGCAGGAGGCCCCATTAGCTAAAGTGGTGCTTCAGGTTAAGAACAGACCTCCGGAACGAATTAAGTACTTAACCCGAGGTACCACTGTACAGGCATACAGTGTGCTGGAAAGGGGAAACTTGAGGGTCTCCCCATTCTGGAGCAGAGGGGAAATCTTCAGAAGGGGTTATAGCGTCACTATAGAGAGGGTAAGGTTTCTCCCAAAACTATCAGCATAAGAAGCATGATTTAGGATGCTCTCTCCAGATCTGAGATTTGGGGGGGGGGGGGAGGAGGGCCTCAATATTTATATCCCCCTTTCCTCCCAAGGAACTCAAGGCGGTCTCCGCAAATCTCATCTCCCCCCGCCCACTGTTTCATCCTCACAAAACAGCCCTGCGAGTTAGGCTGGTCTGGCAGAGCCTGTGACTAGTCCAAGGTCGCCCAGTGATCTTCATGGCGGGAGGGGATCAGGATCCGAACCCCCGTTGGCCGGCGTTGCCTCTAACCACTACACCACTCTGTTACCTGGCCGGCCACTGGGAGGGATCAGGATCCTGGTCCAGGTGGGCTTGGGGGGATTCGGGTGCGTGCAGGTGAAGGGAAATGCGTCCGCCTTACCTGAGCGCTTTCAGGGCACCGGCAGGTGGCGATGACGACTTCTGGGCAGGGGGAGGCAGCCAGGAACCCCTCGACCAAGCCCAGGCCGATGCCCCGGTTGGCGCCGGTGATGAGCACGGAACGGCAGAGCGCTTGATCCATCGCAGCGCGCAGGGAGCCTCCACTTTTGGGAGCGCCGAGGAGGTTTTTTAAACGCAGGGCCACGCCCCCTCCCGCGAGGCCCCGCCCCAAACCCCGCCCCTCCGAATCGTGACGCCGTTCGGTGAGCCAGGCGAGAAGAGGCTTTTGTTTATTTACTTATTGATGCGGCAAAAACGTCTCCCCGCTTCCGCCTCCTGATCAAAAGGGAGTCCTAAAAAAAAGGGATCCCACGTGAGCTCTGGTTGATGCCTTTATGCACTCTGCATATGTAGGCGTGTCAGACCCTCCAAGTGTCCCTGTTTTCCCTGATTTAGAGAATCCCTGATTTCTGATCTGATTCCAGATTGTCCCGCTTTTCCATAGGGTGTCCCTCTTTTCAATGGAGAAATGTTGGAAGGTATGGAGTCATCCAGTGCTTTTTTCTGGCGGTACGCATACCCCTAAACATTTTTTGAATCTAAGTTTGGCCTCATTGAGAGGCAGTATTTCAATATGAGTAGGAAAATGAGAGTACCGCTAAACATTTTTTAAAGAAAAAAAGCACTGGAGTTATCTGACCCCCCAAGCCATCTGAAGGCAATCCTGTGTATAGGGAAGTTTTATTCATGTTTCATTGTGTTTTTATATATGTTGGAAGCTGCTCAGACTCAGAGTGGCTGGGGCAACCCAGCAAGATGTGTGGGGTATAAATAGTAAAATTATCATTATGGAATGGGACATCCCTATTTTCATGGGAGAAATGTTGGAGGGTATGGCGTGTGTCCAAAAATATAAACACCACCACCCCCTTCTGAGATATTCATTTTTTAATCATCGTTTCGTGCGATGTGATTGTAAAACAAGCAAACCTCAAAACGGTTTACAAAAAGAACAGTGAAAAATTATCGGGGGAAAGAAGTTTTAAAGTATTTGAAATTGAAACCAGCAGGGTGCTTTCAAACTGGGGGGCACGTGGGGCAGGGGGAAGCACGTCCTTCTTCTGACAGCACTTAGCGGCTTTCATTGAACCACTGCTAAAGTTAAGCTTCCCCCCACACTGAGAACCCAGCTCATCCTTGAGATATCTATCGATACCCATATCCATATTAATATTGATACATAAATTCAGAGATAGACATATAAAGATATTAAAGATATTTAAAAAGTTGATATTGAGTTCTGTACAGTGGACGCTCGGGTTGCAAGCGTGATCCGTGTGGGATGCACATTCGCAACCTGCAGCGTTTGCAACCTGCGCACGCGCAGGTTATGATTAATCGATTCTGCGCATGCGCAAAGCACGATTTGGCTCTTCTGCGCATGCGCGACTCCCGAAACCCGGAAGTAACCCATTCCAGTACTTCTGGGTTTCGGCGGTCCGCAACCCGAAAAAAACACCACCTGAAGTGTCTGTAACCCGAGGTATGACTGTACTTTGCTTTATACTCTCTCCCCCACCCCCCCACTTTTTGTAAAAATCCAACTCAGCATTGCCAAAAAAAAAATGACTGTCCTCACTCTGCACGGTTCGCAAACAGTGACCCACCCATGGGAAAGGGCGTCTGGCATGCAATGCCAAACACCTTGCCAACTCCGAAAGGTCTCAGCCCATAAAGACAACAATTGGCAGGACTCACCATGGCTCTTAATGGCTGCAGATCTGTGCTTATCCACCCGAGAGTAAACCCAGGGTCAATGAAACGGGGAACCTGCCGTAGCATAGTCCCTTTTGGCATGGCAACCGTGGCAGATCCCCAGAATTCCCCCTAGCCCCAGAGTCTGTTCAGCAGCCTCAGCCTGGGGCAGATTTGCATGCAGCAAGTTCTAGGTTCGATCCCTGGCATGCTCTGGGTAAAGGTAAAGGGACCCCTGACCATTAGGTCCAGTCGTGGCTGACTCTGGGGTTGCGGCGCTCATCTCGCTTTACTGGCTGAGGGAACCGGCGTACAGCTTCCGGGTCATGTGGCCAGCAGGACTAAGCCGCTTCTGGCGAACCAGAGCAGCACACAGAAATGCCGTTTACCTTCCCACCGGAGTGGTACCTATTTATCTACTTGCACTTTGACGTGCTTTCAAACTGCTAGGTTGGCAGGAGCAGAGACCAAGCAACGGGAGCTCACCCCGTCACGGGGATTCGAACCGCCGACCTTCTGATTGGCAAGTCCTAGGCTCTGTGCTTTAACCCACAGCGCCACCCGCGTCAGCCACAGCGCCACCCGGCTCTGGAAGAGACGACTAAAACGTCAGAGAGCCACTGCCAGTCAGTGTAGGCATTACTGAGCTTGATGGACTAACTCTGACTCAGTGTAATGCAGCTTCCTATGTTCCTATTATTTGTTATTTATTGAATTTGTAGACCCCCGCAGGTCTCAGGGTGGTTGCAACATAAAACCACAATACAGAAATATAAAATACATAACCAAAACAAAAACAAAGCAACCCAGTAACACTCCCCAAACACATTTTAAAAGGGCACTGGATGTCAATCAGCCAAAGGCCTGGTTAAAGAGGAATGTTTTCTCCGGTGAGCAACCTGGCCGCTGAATTCTGTACCAGCTGAAGTTTCCGAACCATCTTCAGAGACAGCCCCATGTATAATGCATTGCAGGAATCTAAGCTTGAGGTTACCAGAGCAAAGATAACAGTCGTTAAGCTATCCCTGTCCTGTGGCTGGGACTGTGGGGAGCTGAAGTCCAAAATACCGTATTTTTTGCTCTATAAGACTCACTTTTTCCCTCCTAAAAAGTAAGGGGAGATGTGTGTGCGTCTTATGGAGCGAATGCAGGCTGCGCAGCTATCCCAGAAGCCAGAACAGCAAGAGGGATTGCTGCTTTCACTGTGCAGTGATCCCTCTTGCTGTTCTGGCTTCTGAGATTCAGAATTTTTTTTTCTTGTTTTCCTCCTCCAAAAACTAGGTGCGTCTTGTGGTCTGGTGCGTCTTATAGAGCGAAAAATACGGTACCTGTTGGGCAGCAGGTTGGCCAAGGCTGAGGGTGGGGGAACCTTTACCCTCCAGATGTTGCTGAAGTGCAACTCCCATCAGCCCTTGCAAGCAGGCCCAATGGCCGGGGATGATGGGAGTCGAAGTTCAACCACATCTGAAGGTCCACCATTTCCTCACACCAAAGCTAGAGCCTACATAACAACGGAAACCCCAGCCTTCCCCACGTCGTCGGGCTGTTTTGGTGACAGCCTTTGCTGCCTTGCCAATCGGAGCATTCATTAATAGCTTAAGACGCCTTTGAATCTGCTCTTTGCTTAATCCTGGCTGTCAGCACATCAGTCAAGCTCTCTGGTGCCAGACGCTCTGGCGTTCTTCAAAAGTCTGTTGACACAACAGGAGCTGTTCAGGGATGCCAGCTGTTGGAGAGTGTTGCGTGCTCACACATGTTGTGTGTGCTTGAGCTCAATCTGGACAGCAAAACCAATAACAGGGAACACGGCGGACCTGTGATTTGAGGGAGAGGCCTTTCCTGCACAAGGGATCTTCTCCCAAAGGAACAAGAACCACAAGGGTACCCAGAGGGCATTTCTCCTACTTGGGCAAGCGCTAGACATCTCGCTGCAGGGATAGAGTATCCAGTGAGACCCCTCTGAGGAAGACCAGCACTGGATACAACCCAGTATGCGGGTGGCGCTGTGGTCTAAACCACTGAGCCTCTTGGCCTTGCCGATCAGAAGGTCGGTGGTTTGAATCCCCGCGACGGCGTGAGCTCCCGTTGCTCTGTCCCAGCTCCTGCCAACCTAGCAGTTCAAAAGTACGCCAGTGCAAGTAGATAAATAGGTACCGCTGTGGCGGGAAGGTAAGCGGTGTTTCCGTGTGCTCTTGTTTCCGTCATGGTGTTCCCATTGTGCCAGAAACGGTTCAGTCATGCCAGCCACATGATCCGGAAAGCTGTCTGTGGACAAACGCCGGCTCCCTTGGCCTGAAAGGGAGATGAGTACCACAACCCCATAATTGCCTTTGACTGGACTTACCGTTGTCATTTCAAACCTCGAATTGGCTATCTTTTCCTAGCTGCCTGGCTAGTTGTTTGATGTTGAAAAGACCTAAAGGGCGCCATGTTTGTTAACTGGTATAAGATGGCTTGGCAAGTCGGAAAAATTCACAAATAATCGACCTCTGACTAAAAGAATGCAGTATAAAGATTCTTTTGTGGCCTGGTGTTATTGTTTACATGAACTAAGATGAAATACAAAGGCATCTCCCAGGTGACACAAAACTTTCTGGCTGCTATGAACATTGTGGACTTGAATTCTGATACTTCCTGATGTCTCGTACTGACGGATTAATATTTCGGGCTTGCCTTTTTTTTTACTTTAGACTCTCCTCTATGAAATTTGGAGGAGATTGTTCTGTACTATTAAAATTGTGTTAATTTAAAAGCAATCACAACCCTGCCCACGCTCCTAAAGAACCCACAATAAATTAAGCACCAAAGGATGGCAACTTTACAGGACTGGTTTTGTACTTTTTAATCCCTCATTCTCTCACTTCATGCTCTATAAAAACAAAGCAAGGGAAATGGCGTCACCTCCTTGCAGACACAAAGGGAGACAAAGGAAGGTGACCCAGCTATAAAGGCAAGGTGCCTATAGAAAAGGACAGAGGGGGGAGGGGAGTAACTTAACAAAGAAACTGGTTCCGCCAGTTCTGCAGTTCCCCCTACTACAAACTACACTCTAACCAAATACTAAATCACTGGCTTGGTTGGGACCCACAGGCATCATCCAAACCAACCCTCAGTCCTATAATGACACAACATACCAAATGTAAAACAAGTCAACCCTTCACAATTTTAAACCCCTGAAATTTAAAATCTCAAAAAAGAAAAGAAGAAAAAAGGTGGCTGGAATAAAAAACCCAAGAAGCAATTCAGTCCTCCCAAAATAAATCAGTTTTGACCAGACACCTGGTGGGCAGAGTTGGCCCACAGCAGCAGGCCTGCAGCCTGGAGACTTATCGTGCACAAGTAGAATGAGCGTTCACACTTCTCTCCATCCTGTTTGGATACCACAGATTTCAGGAAAGAATTACGTGTCC